GCCCTTGGCCAACATCTTAAAAGCAAGTACCAAACCATATATTAAGCCTTAGCATGTCCCATGAAGTCACATTCTTCAGTTATTCTATCTGACTGTGTGCTGCTAAGGTGAGTAGACCTTGGTTTTATTCTGCTAAATACCCCACTTCATGTATTCTGTGTGAATTTCTTTGAAAAGTTGTGCTGGTACATGGTGATGAGCAAAGCAGTTGGTTTGATGTGTGTCTAGGACAGCTGCATAACTTTAGCCTTTGGGTAGCGCTTTGTTGGGTAGCTTGAGAGATGTTTTCATTTGGCGCTCATCTTTCCCTGGAAGAGATGCTGAACAGCTGTCCAGGTAGCATGTGGTGCAGTCCTAACTCCCAACCATCTCCTTTGCCCAAGTGTTGCATGTTATTCAGCATCTGGGTTGTCTGTGAGAGCAATGGCTAGCATTGGAGGCACACTCAGCTCCCATTTAAGATGTATGGAACCACAAGAGCTTTGCTGAAGTCTCTGACTTGCCACTTGTAAGGCGTGTGGTATCTTAATATATCTAGCGATGTTACATGTTGGTAAGTTGTTCTGTTGTTGATAGAAGCCAGTGTAGGATAGAAATCTCTGCCATAATGAGATCTAATACATAGCAGTTAAATGTCAAATCCGTGATACTTGAAACTATAATTAAAAGAAAAAAGCATTGGAAGACAGAAATAGGAAAACAGTAGTGATTTTAAGTGTTTTTTATGTAGGAGCAATACCTAGGGACTTGGATCAGTTTAATATGTCTTTTACTGTGCCAAATGGAACAACAGTTGACAAAATGCTAATTGCTTTGCAATGCTTGTAGGGAATAGAGTAATCGATGCAAATAAATACATCAAAACCAGAAAGGTAAATGGCCTGCAAGAGCTAAGTAACAGTAGTGAAATTATCCACTAATGTACATCTGTGTGTAATTACTGCTTTCTAAACTCAATTGGCACTAGTCTTAAATTTCTTGTTGAATATGATCGTGTCTTGTTGTAGATGTGTAGAAATGCTGTAAAAATGTGTTTGAATCTTGCTTTGCATTTGTACTACCTCATCCTCCCTTTCCCCTCACCAGTCAGAGCAGCTGCAAATGTGTAACTAATCATTTCCTGAAAGAATTTTTCAAGTCTAGGTCTCAGAACTGGATTTTCATATTGCATCTTTGTCATATCTTAAATTCAATCTACAGTCTTTCTTGAGTGGGCGAGTTGAGCAGGGAAAGAAAAGTGGTAATAGCAAGGCTTGTAAACTGATGTAGGCTTTCTGAGGCATAGAGAGTTTATAATATCCTAAAAGGGAATGTTGCTGCACTTCAGTGATTAATCAGCCCAACAAAAAAGCCAAATAAAACCCTAACCCCCCCAAATTTATTCAATATAACCCTATTGAATTGTGGTTATGGTTTGCAAGGATGTTTTAGTGATTTGGTAAGTAAATATATATCACTAACTTCTGAGGTTTTGGAGTAGCAAAGGTATTTAGATAATCTAGTTTAAAAATTACATTTAGTTTAGATATATTTGGTACATATAAAACATTATTACAATACTGCTGTAAGATTTCCCACTGAATAGAGTCGAAAGGTTGCAGTTTTTGTTTCTTTGCATGTCATCTGATACTGAATCAGGAATTAATGTGAAGCAGTGACATGATGTGTAAAATTAATGTATGCCAAATCCCTGCAACGTGTGCCCTATAGCTAGTGTGTACTTTGTTTGATGTTGCTGTATGTATCTTGGCATGAGAAAATAACTGCATGATTAATGAGTGCAAACGTGTTACTCTAGTGGTTTTCCATGTGTATCTAAAGTTTGATTACTGTCTCTGCTAGTTTGCCATCTACCATTTTTATTCTTTAATAAGCTCAAAGTACTTGCCCAGGTGTATTTACAGCATTTACATATTTAGGTTGTAGCCTGATATTGTCAGCTTTCTTAATATGTTAGGAAAATAGTATTTTAAAGTATTAACTACTAATAGTATTAATGTATTAATAGGATTTTGGTACAGAAAAAAAGCTTTAGCCTTTTCTTTTTTCATTTTTATTCATTAAATCTCCCTCTTGTGCTCTCATGATCAGAGCTGTGCCTCCTCTTAAATGATTTCAGTTGCTTTCAAGCTTGCCTTGAGCTTAGCTTTTTGTATGACCGGCTTTTGTCAGTGCAAGCATTGTTAATCTTATACCAAGAAGATTACTCATCAAATGCAAGCTGCTTCTTTAAGATCACATTAGAAGTTGGGATTTTGTCTCACTCCAAGCAAACTGAAAAAGCAACTCTGTCCCATGATGATGACAACATGGGAATGTCATTTGACCCTGTGATTCATTCGTGTATTGCACCGAATTAACAGGCTGAAGCAATTAAGTCAGAGATGTAAAGAAAGTGGCTCTACTTATATCTGTGGTTTTAATGTCTGCTTTCTTCTTTTGTACACCTGAGTTCTCTGTAAAGGATATACCGTATTGTTTGCCCCTAAAAGGCATGGTTTTCCCACATGGACCCAAATGCTTTACTGGGTGAAAGTTAGTGCTTACAGCAGAACATCACTTTTAGCTACATAGTGTATTTTAAAAATAATTAAAATAGTTTTCTTTTGGAGAAGAAAAATACCACAGACGCCTAGTCTAGGGCACAAAGGTTTGAGGTTAATAACCTATACTCTGTTGTCCTGGGAGGCAAGTTGAACATCTAGCAATCTGAGGTGGGAACTTTCATCCTTGGCAGCTTGGCTCACCTCAGAATGTCTGAAGGCTGTACCCAAGTAGTTTCCTAAAAGCCATACAAAACAGCACTTAGCTGTAAGATCTGAAGTTCACCTTTGGTAGTTGTGTTTTGGTTGTATTTTTTTAAACAAACAAACAACAAACCCCAAAGTGATAAATAATTATGCTTAATAGTGCATTTTCCTCATCTAAAAGGATTAATGGAGAGTTTTCCCCTGAAGCCTTAAAAGGAGGGAGAGAATGAGGAAGCACTCAATATTTTTTGTTTAAGTAAAGGAGAAATCCTTGCAATTTTTCTTTTTTCCATTGCTTAATAGATGTTTTGCATTCATTTTTCAATTTAGCTAGGTATTTTTTAGGCTCGTTAACAGTAATTTGGGATAATGAAGAAACTTCTGGAAATCTGCAAAACCTGGCCTTCTTACTGGGAAGATTTTTCTTCCAGCTACAGTTGATTCTTAAGTGTTTCCATAGTGTTGCTATCTTTAATATGATGCACAAAGCCAAATAACTAGTGAAATACAATTTTCTAGAACCAAAGAAAGCTTCTGTTGCAGTGTGCTGGTGAGACTCCATGCACAGTGATAGACAGATTCCCTCACTAGCATGAGCCATGATAATTTTCTTGAAATGTACTCGTGTGTTTTTTTGGTAGGTGTTTTGGTTTTTGTTGTTGCTGTTGTTTTAAATCTGGAAGTGAAATTATTGACCTTCACAAGCAGTGGCTCAAGGCATGTACCAACCTGGTGAAAGGTACTACAAGAACCTAGACAAATTCCTTCTCTCTAGTATCCTTGATGCACGGTGATATGAAAAACATGCATTTCTAGCATTTCATTTTTTAATTGATTTAGTATTTGGATGGCTTTTTTTTATCTGAAAATAATGAACAAGAACAAAAAAGCAGTATTCAGTTTTGCATTACAGTATTTTGGAAGTCTGCCTTTTTTCAACATACTTCCGAATATTGGTGCCCAGTTAATGTAGGCACTTAAGCTGAATTTATGTTGGATAATTCAGGCGTACCTGAGGACATACTGAAATGATATAATTTGTGGTTGAAATGTTCCCTAAGGTAAGTTTGGCCTGTTCCAGCTACTTACTGTTTTACACAAGGTATTCACAGATGAGGCTTATGAACTGGGATGGCAAAGACAGCTTACAGTGCGTGCTTTGAACACCATCACCCTGTTCTGGAGGCTATGACGGATACCTAGAAGAGATACGAACTGTTCTGCACTGCTTGTCTTTGTTGCCTGTTAATGTTTTTAGGTGCACTTACTTATTAGTATAGGCATAGTATTGTGTCTTCTTACCTGATTGTAGTATGGATGTCTTTAGCAGGGCTGTGCAAATAAAACTGGTATTATAATTGATACTTCTTCAGTGCAGATGTAGAAAAGGAAACAGAATTTCCTTTGGCAAATGTGTAAAAGCAACAGAAGCTGATGGCACTTAAATCAGTTGGCTAAGTGTAGTGTGCAAATCGGCATACAGTTGCTAATTACCTTCTTATAAATACTCTCTTCTCTGCTTCTTCCAAATCCATTATGGGAGAATTCCAGCTTGACATCTTGTATTTTTGTGGTAACGAGCATACCAGAGTGTGGTTTTTTTTTTCTCTTGAAAGGAAAATGAGATTTACAGATTCAGAATAAATGTTGGAAATAGGAAGAGGGGAAAGATGGAATTTTTTCCCTCTCTCTAAATGGGTATTATCAATATTGCTGGATTTGCAACTCCATAGGAGTTGCCCATGAAGTGCAGAAATGAACACATGAAAATAGCAACTTGAAGATTTGTTGGATGTGTTTTCTTAATAGTAAGGCTGCCACTCTAGATATAACTGCTAGATAAGCTGACTTTTCTGTTTGAGAGAAAAAGGGCTGTTCCTTGCTTGAGTAAGGCTTTCTTCAGGCTTTGGGTTTAATCTTTGTTGCTCACTTGAATGTTACTAATTTATTTATTTATTTATTTGGAAAGAAAATTCCATCTTTTGTGATAGATTTTCTTCTTTAAACATTTCCTTTTTTTTTCCCAAATAAGGACTGCTACATAAATTAAATGCAGAATCTGTGTTAAACATTTAGTCTGAATTTATACATTTTTCAATGAATGGAAGAAATCATCCTTTCCCTTAAAAGCCAAAGTTAGCTCTCTTGGACCACTTCACGTGACAAAACTTAGTTATTGCTGTTTGTTTTGAAAACACAAAATTAGATCAATTAAGGAGATTATTTTAAGGATTATGTACTTTTTTTCAGGAGGACCCAAATGATATTGACCCAAAAAGGAAAGACGTGCGTGGCAGTGATGGGGAAGACAAAGCACAAAGTGTGGAGACGCTACCTCCAGGTATTGCAGTAACATTTGTTATGAAAGATCTACAGCAATAAAACATTTATTATTGAAAGTCATAAAACACAGCAGTTGTTCTGATTGTAGTCATTTTTTGTAGTTTGGAAGTGCTAGGATTATTTTAGCAATATGTGCTACTGTATTCTTAAAGCTTCATCTTCCTTACATCTTACCTGCTTCACTGCTCCTTTGGGTTTAAAACCACAGAGAATGTGACTTTTTGCTAGTACATTTGTAGTGGCCTGCAATAGGCTTGAGGTGATGTGGAAGCCCTGGGTACGAAAGCAGTCAATTTCTCTTGATGGTCAGTGCTGGCAGGCAACAGACAAGTTGCCTTGGGACTGTGGTTCTGACTGAAGAGTCAGCCAAGGTTCATACTTGTAGTTTTGTCGAGCTTTTGATGGGGTGGATTTTCCTGAGTGTGGTGATAATGTGCCTTATTTTTCTCTTACTTGCTCGTTATTTGTCATGTGCTGGCAAATGAGAGCAACATGATTTTTGTTTTATTTGAGTGAAATTGTCGTATGCCTTGAGGATGAGCTAGGAAAATCAAGTGTTAAGGAATCGTCGCTTCATGTGACTGCTTCCATAAACTTTTGCTGTTAAACTGTTTCGCATCAATGAGATTTAATATGTAGCTACAATTGACATAGCGAGAAAAACGGAAATGGTAAAATGGATTTGAGTGTTTTACACGGTACTGAAAAGTTTACCATACAAAGAGGACAGTTTATGATCAGATAGCTTCACAATACGTTTCACTCTTCTTTGATTAATGCTAATGTTTGGCTTAAAAACTTAACTTAGCCAAACATTTGAAATGTGATATCATAGGTCTTGAAGAGAGAACTAATGAAGGTAAACTTTCCTTTAGGCAGCTGGAAACTTCCATCCACAATAATGTGTGAAGTATGAGTTTTGTTTTACAGTCTTGGATTCCTGGTACAGAATAAGCTGTTTGACATTCATGGCTTTTTTTCCTGTAGCCTTTGGCCTACCTTGTCTTAGCTGCTTTCTGGAGAGGGAAAAGAAGATTCTGGTTATATGTGTATGCTTTTTTGGCAAAACTCTTACTTTGTGTATGAATTGGGTAATAAATCCTAGAGAGCTGAAGAGCCTGGCTTATTCAACTTGGTTTCTGGAAGATCTTCTAAAGCGTTTTTGTGTTTTTTTTTTTTCCCCTAGCAGAACTCTTTGAAAAGTTGTTACTGGGATTATAGGTCAGCCAATTTTACACCTTCCAGCTACTATTCTTACTTCCTCTTTTTTAACGTTCATATATTCCTGGTCAAGCTCTATACATTTCCTATAAGACTTTCTTTTCCCAGTTGCCCCTAAGTAACCATTCAAGGAGTAAAAGAAGTAGGAAGGGTCACAGGCTGAAAGGGAATGATATCAGAAGCTGAAGGCTTGCAGCTAGAAGTAAAATTAAGTGTAAAATTTAAGAAGTCAAATTAAGAAATAAAAAGTAGAGCAAGGCAGTGCTTGTCATTTCATCTGTTGATTAGTAATCTCTTATGGCTTGATTTAACAGTCAAGAGAATCATTACTGCAAAGTAGGATGAGAGTCTCAAATCAAACATCAAAGGCTACAGGGGCAGAATTATGTACTCAAATCACTACTTTGCTTATTTTCAATTCATGTAGGCAAACTTCTGAATCTTCATGGCAATGAAGCTTGGAATTCATATTTCTGTAGGTTCTTCACACTGTTTCTTTTGTTTTAAAGTTAGATTATCAAATTTTAGGAGGGCTTTAGTTCAAAACTTTCTTGCTTTTTCCACTGAGGTGAGGAGACCTATAGTTTAAATTTTGGTGTTTTGTAGGGTGGTGTCTTCAGAACTTCTCAGATTTAAGGGACTGTTTATTATGTTTAAAATGGCCTTATATAAAAATTAAACTGTTGGGTTTTTTACCTTCTGTACATCAGAGTGTATCTATTCTTTGTCATTTGGTGACTCTGCAGAAGTCTGATGGTTTGTGAAAATAGTCATGTTAGCTTTTGTAGTTAGAAACACTGACCGTGGATTGTCTGCATGGATAACTGAAGCAAAACTGTATAACCAGTTCTCTGTAATGACAGGAGTTTCAGCAGTTTAATTAAACAGCTCTTTTTGTTATTTTAGTAAAGATCTGGAATCTCTTAATGCGTATCAAGCAAATTAATCTTATTTATAGTGAATATCCTACTGCTTTAAAGCTGTATTGAGTAAGAAGAGTGCAAACTATTTAGGGGATTTTGTATCCGTCTGTTCCTGCTCTTTGTTGCCTGCTGCTTGGCTGTGTGAAGATTTACCTGCTATGCTTTTATTTTTCTCTTCTGTCTCACTTTGAGTTGCTCTTACTGTTATTTATCTTTTCCCTAATAGATCTGATTCATATTGCGCATTGATGACAGGGCTTTCTACTGGAGCTAGAATAAGGCTTTGTCTCGTTCCTGGCTCCAGAAGCCAAATTCACTTGCTGTTATAATCTGTAGGCTGTCACTGCTTTTTGGTAAACTTAGCCGTGTGAAGTAGTCTCCTTTCTGCTAAGGCTTATTACTCTGTGCTTTCTGGACTAGTGTTGCATTTGGTGGTTTTGAAGTCTTGGAAAATGGTGAACAATGCATTTAAATGATTTATATCAAGCTCTACTTGGATGGAAACTGGAATGGAATAAAATACAGCTATTTATTACAGAGGAAAAAAAAACTCAAAATGTGCTTCCTGTTTGAAATAAACCAGCATATTATTTAAAGTAGTAGCAGTGAACTGGACTGTTTTTGTTGATGGCCTTCTCCAAGGTTTCAGAGTTGGGGAGTACCTGGGACAAAAAGTAAGTTTCAAAAAACTTCACTGTATTTCACCTTTTTCTTTTTTTTCCACTTAGCTTCTCAGGCTCAAAACAGTCTGTCAAATAAGCAGTTGTCAAAACCAAGTTTAGCACTGCAGCATACCCTGTTGAGATTAAAAGATGAATTTATCATCTTGTTAGCTCTCAGTGCAATGCATGTAGACACGTTTGCTCAAATTTAAAGTTATGAACTTGTTTAAGTTTGAAAAAATGTAGTTGGGTTTTCCGATACTTATTCGCCTGGTAAAGTCATTGAAACTTGGGAAGCTACAGAGCCAGCTAACTCCCCAGAAGAAATTAAATCAAACGTGCTCCTATTTGTGTACCCCAGGGAAGTATACAACAAAAGCAGTGCCTGTTATTGGAAAAGGCTCGTTAAACCACTTTTAACTTCCAAATAGCTGATAAATTGTCAGGAAGGCAAGCCTTTCAGCAAAAGTAAGGCTAGACAGTATATTTAGCTATGGATCAGCCTTTCATTTTCCAGCACTTAACTTGAGCTCTTAGCACTTGTAACCATGTGGGCAACCCAAATTACGTGTTGTAGCTCATAAAGAGCACAACCTATTTAAGAAGAATGCTTGCAACAGCATCACCATTTATCACTAATGCGATGCCTGTATGATCTCGTGTTTTAGCTACTCCTTCCACTGGATGGAAGGCAACTGGAGGAGTGGATGGGGGTGGCAGCAGGCATAGTGTTAAACTCCATAGGAAGTTGAAGAGTTTGAGAGTTGAAAGTCTACATAAATGCATTTAAAGTGTGGATTATATTTTGCAAAATGCACTAAAAATCTTTCTTTTTTGGACCAGAAAATCAGGGACATGACACGTCGTGTACTTAAAAAAAAAAATTCAACATATGTTCCATGTTGAAGCTATATTACAAATTGGAAGCAAGGGTGATAATGTAATTTAGTTACCAAGGGATTTGTAAAGCTTTGGAAATGCTATGTGAGAGAGTTATATGGGGAGATGATCTTGTGATCTGTTTCTTCCAGGTTTCTGAATCGAGCCACTCTTGCATTTTGTATAGTTTCGTTGCAAGTGAGGTTTGGTGTCATTTTTGTAAATAACTGTATCTGGTTATTTGTAGTGTAGTAGCTGGCTGGGATGTAAACTTGTTTTTAAAGTAAGTTCCTGGAAATACTTTGAAGAAAGAACTTGAAAGGCTAAGAAAAACTTGGCAATCTGTGGGCTACCAACAGCAGCTTTAAAGCTTCCTTTTTAGAAAAGTAACTGGAATTTGAAAATCTGTTTTTCTCCCTCTGGTTATTTTCCTATCGTTTCCCTTCTGGGCTACTTCACCAAGCATATATTGAATGTTCTGCAGTCTGTTTTCGTTTGACTTTCTAGTTCTGGCTTGTGTGTCTGTACATGGTTTAACTTAAGGATGGTAATTCAAATTCCAGTCCAAGTTGCTTTTGTAGATGAGCTCCTTAGACGATCCTGAGATTATAGAGGAATTTTAATCAAGTTGGCTGTATTTGGTTAAACAACAGACAATTATTTTGCTTAATGGTGGAAAGTGTTTGTTCTTTCAATATCAGAATCTTCTAGCAGGAGTTAACCTGCACCATAGTTGGGGCATGGCTTATGGATAGGAAGCTGTGAATGAGGCCTGCTTTAGTTTCTGTACCTAGCAGGGTGAGAGATGGAGCAAAGGTTAATCTTGAAGCATCTGAGCAGCCTCTTGTTAATAGCTGTTAGAGTATATTCCCCCTAGGTGTATCAGCTTAGGGTATGCCTGATGTATACTATTTGTCTAAAAGCTGAGTTTGGATAGAGTGACATCTCTGCAACCTGCTACTCACTGAACTTAATTAAAAGTACCTCAAAAATTCTGTGTTGATTATGACAGCAATGAATGTTGATTCTTCTCCTCTGTAATAAAAAGTGACCCCAAAAGGCAGCTTTTGCTTTGTTTTTTTGCTTTTTGTTTTTTTTTCTTTTTTTGCCAATGGCAGGTTGTGTGCATCAGACGCTGCAGCAGGAGATTCTCATGCACATCCATGTTAAAATCAGAATGCCTGTGTTGCACTGGAACTTCAGATCTGATTTTGAGTTAAAGGTATACATTTGTTGTAGGTAGTACAGGTTTGGATGTCAACAGGCAAAAAAGTAAGCATTCAAACAGTGGCAAGAACTGATAGTTTTAAGACAGTTGGTAAATACCATGCTGTTGTTTTATACCTGAAGATGGTGGACTTCCTGAAATTTCATTCCTGGTGGCTTGATGTTAATCTGCCACTCTGTGCTAGTGCCACAACCAGTCACATAATAATACAGCCCTTGATAAGGAGGGATTAATTTGTGAATAATTTCTGATTGTAAAGGAGATAGCAGTTATGTCTCAATAAGACATAAGAGCCATGTTTTGCTCTGTCTGCGTGAAATGCTGGTTTGAGAATAATGTTGTCTTGTACTTGTAAAAGGCCTGTTCCTCAAATGCTTTGATTATAACTGACTGTTTCTACTGATGTAATGAGACAGTAAATTAAATTATAATGTCTTTGAAGTCTGGACTGAATGTTAAAAATATAACTGTTTCTTGGATAACTTTATAGTCAGATCATCTGCCATGTTAATGCATGTCATGTGGAGGGTTTGTTTTTTTAATGGAAATTGTGGTAGTTGGAGTTAAAAACCAAGGAAAACTGAACCAAAACAAAAACCCCAAAACAGACAAGATGAACATAGTCTGGTGATTATTTGCATAAACTGAGATCTGTAAAATTGTTTAATTTTATATTACTTTGCAGGATGTTCTAGAGGAATTTAATACGCAAAAGTGACTGTAAATGTTGCACTGTTGACAGTTGAGGTTTAATTGCGTTGCTGGAAAATTAAAAACCAAGTTATTTCATCAGTTATGTCTGAATTGCTGAATGCTGCTTTTTAAATTGAGGAGATTAAATTTGATATTTTTCTGGTTTTCTATTGTAGGAAAAGTTCGGTGGCAGGACTTTGATCAAGATGTTTATGTTGGCGCTACCGTGGTGCGATCTGGTCAGGATCCGTATGCCCGCAATAAGTTCAATCAGGTGGAAAGTGACAAACTGCGAATGGACCGAAGCATTCCTGACACCAGGCATGATCAGTGAGTGCTAAACTGAGTCATGCTTGACTTGGATTAACTGTTCTGTATGTATGGCTTTTGAGCAGCAGGTGGTTTTTCTAAAGCAGGAGAGCTCTTCAGCTTTCAAAATGACAGACAATAAACTCTGGTGTGATCCTTGAGCAGTGGGTTAAAGAACAGTGAATCTTAATCAAGGTTTTCCCGTTTCCATGACTTCTGTCCGTGTGTATTCTATATACAAACTGGTGCTGCCTTTCAGCCTCATTTTGTGCTTATATGATGGCTTTTCTTGGTTTCTACGTTTGTAAGTCTTTTTCTCTCTTAGGATGATCAAGCAGTGGAGCCGGTTGCCCAGAGGGGGTGTGAAGTCCCTAGAAATAGGGATGTTCAAAGCCTGATGTAGCTGGCCCTGCTTTGTGCAGGGATTTTAGACTGAAAGATTTCCAGGGGTCCCTTCCAATCTCATTTGCTCTGTGATTCTGTTTCTCTAAGTACATGACAGTTGTCACCTCCAGACCTAAAGGAATCTGTTTATGCATACCCTGGTGAACATAGGACAGAATTACACTTCAAAATTACTTCAGTTATGCATGAAACCAACTTTTTTTGTCAAGCTACTTGTGTAGATTCAGGAACTAGTACATTTCAGGAAAAATTTTTTTGTGGGCAGAGAAGACTTCCATTTCAGAAAGGGGATTGAGTGATTGCAGTGATCTCATTTAAGCAGAAGTGATTAATATGAAAAAGAGAGTTGCATTTGGACTTCCATAACTTAAAAATAATAAAAGCAGCTTGAAGTTGGTTTTCAAAATTAAGCAAGCATAGTCTCAAAGCATAAAATTAACCAACTGTGCATAGTTAATATGCCTAATTCTGCAGTTAGGAAGAACATATACCCACCAGACACCTGAGGGAGGAAGGTACCAGTTTTTTCCTCCATAAAGCCCTTTAACCAGGAATGGCATAGTGAAGGGGATTTGTATAAAAATTCAGGCACTTACTGTGTCATTTTTAAATCCCTCATATAATAGCATGGGTTAAGTTCTGTAAGTACATGATTGGTAGATAAAACAAGTCTTGTATAATTTGCCATTAATTGAGCAGAAAAGTAGGAAGAATCTAGTATTTCACTTGTTGCTGTGAAAGCACTAAAAAGCCTGATGCACATGGCATACTGAGGAGATCTTGAATTTTCTTCATCATGCATACTTTTTATGTTTGGTCATATGCCCCCCACCCCACCAAGATATGCTTTCTAAAATTGGGAACACATGGTCTTTTCCCACAAGAGTGAAGCTCAGCCACCACCTTCTAGAAGCTTCTGTAATTCAGATATGCTGAATTTGGAACCCTCCTAGATATTTAATAACCTGAGAGGGGTCTAACAGACAAAAGCCAGACAAAGAACTTAAATACTAGATGCCAGGAGACAAATTATATTAAAGTGGCCATGTTTGTTTTAACTGTCAGGGTTGTGATTGTATTCTGACCTGCCTGGTTTTTCTGATAAATGGAGCTTGGAAAAGATCCCTGCAATTGAGAGAAAGAGAGATATTTTTCAGGGGAAAGGCCTTACTGCTGCTGTGATTATTACTTAGGCTTGGCCATGGTGCTGATTTAAGTGCCCATCAGTTTGTAAATGGTCATCTTAAAGAAAAAAAAACTACCAACAAAACAAGCAAACAACAAAAAAAAAATGGCCCAGACTGAAGCAATCATTCCTGCAAATTTTCCATGATGCTTTCCCTGCCAAGTTGCAATCAGTTTTCCTTCTATTCTGTCAAGGACATTCACTGTATAAGCTGAAATAGTTGCATGGAATATTTGTTTAGGAACTGCACAATGGAAAAAGCAAGAGCAATAGCCACAGGAAAAAGATGATGTTACAGATCTGAGCATGTGACACTTGAAAGCATGTTATTTCCGATAGAATTGGAGGCAGTTGGGCTAAGATGAATATCTTTTATGGAGCTGCTACAATCTTTTTCTTTAAGAGAAGAAACCTGGATGAGGAAGTCGCTGTTTCTGCTTAAGCAACTCTTTATTAATTGCATGATGTGTCTAAGAGGCTGTTTGACTTTAACTACCTAATAATACTATTTAGTTGGCTGAAATTGTCTAGGCTGTTTAGAAGCAATTTATCAGGATTCTACATTAGGTATGTAAATGTGTGTGCAATTATGCATCTCTTTTAATATTACATTGTTTAGTCTTTTCTGCACGGGAGAAACTTTTACTAAGATCAGGTTAAGACCAAAGTTTTCTGCTTGCTATTTGTGAAAGCCTGCCAGCAGCACTAGAAAGCAGATTGGTTCACCTGTTTCAACTGCTTGCCTTTATTTTAAGCCTAAGGGGTACAACATAAGAAAGCAGACAGTGACAGGAGGTCTAAGCAGGCATGCAGATTTTCACCCCAGCTGGCTGATGCTCACAACTGCTGCTTCCAACAGCTTTGAGAAAACTCTGGGTTTCCTTCTGTTGCAGTCTGTTGATAGAGTTATCCCTTTCACAGTAGATTTTGGAGATCCAGAAAGTGAGTGTCACAGTGGTAACAGGAAACTTCTGGAGTTGTCCTCATGTCAGTATAAGATAATCTCCCAAGTGGGTTGGAGGGTGAAATACTCCATGGCTTTTCTGCACAAGTGGTTTCTGATCACATCTCTTATGTGTTGGCATAATTTTGGGGAATTACTGTTAAGTACTTTTAGCTGAACTAAACTCTGTTTTCTTTCTCATGGGGCAACTATTAGAAGCTTCTGACCCTCATACTTGGGATTTATTCTTAAGTAAAGAAGAAGCTTTCCTGTCTGTTTGGTACCCCAGATCTCTGTTGAGGTGAATGTTCTCCTTACACTGGTTACAGTGGTTATTTCTGTCAAAAAATGGTTTCAACAAATCATGGAGGTTTCAGAAAATCTTTTCCTTATATGAACAAGTTGGCAACTCAGATTTCTGGGTGAAAGAATGTACTTTTCATGTTTTAACTGATTTTAGTGAACTATACTAAGCATTGAAGGTCTAGATTGAAATTTTCAGTTCAAGTTCTATTTTATCCAAATGTATTTTCTCATTCTGCATGTAAAATTAAGTGCTGTATCTTGAGGAAGGAAAGTCTAATCTCCGTGCCAGAAATGATGACATTGTTGCTTTGGTTTGATTTCTAACTGTGGCACTATTGACGCAGCAGAATAGGAGGACTGCTACTATTTCAGTTAAAGCAGGTATTTGCTGAATAGTGGAGAGCAGAAATAGTCAGTGAAGCATTCATCCAGTTTTATTTGGAACTCTAAAAATCTGAATTTCATCCTCAGAAATATGCAGTAGTACTCTTCCGAGTTTTCTTAAAATTGAGTCTCTTCATTACCCTGAGTAATTCTACCCTAAGATGTGCTCTAGCTCAAGTGCTCTCTTCTGCAAAGAGATCAGTGTAGGTTTAATGTGACTTTTAAAATGATTCTAATGCAAGTGCTTCATGTGATAACTGCATGCACAGTAGACTTATCCTCTGTGGAAAATTTGAAAGTTATCAGAAAAAAGAGTATACTTTTTTTGGCATGTCTTGTAGCTGTCTAGATGCATTGCCAGAGGCTCACAATAGAGGTTTTAATTCCTTAGGTTCCAGGAACACATACACGGTGGATTTATTGCTTCAGTGCTGGGCACTAGTGATGAAGCCATCTTGTACACCTACCATTTGAGAAACAGAGCTGGAGCACCTCTCCTGTGAAGATAGGCTGAGAAAGTTGGGCTTGTTCAGCCTGGAAAACCTTATAGCATCCTTCCAGTACCTAAAAGGGGCCTACAAGAAAGCTGGGGAGGGACTTTTTACAAGGATGTGTAGGGATAGGACAAGGTATAATGGCTTTAAGCTGAAAGAAGGTAGATTTAGATTAGATACTAAGAAGAAATACTTTACTGTGAGGATGGTGAGATACTGGAACAGATTGTGCAGAGAACTTGTAGCTGCCCCATCCCTGGCAGCGTTCAAGGCCACGTTGGACAGGGTTTTGAGCAACCTGGTCTAGTGGAAGGTGTCCCTGCCCATGGCAGGGGTTGGAACTGGAGGAGCTTTAAAGTCCCTTCCAACCCAAACCATTCTATGATCTGGCCTTGCTTATCTGGTACAGGAATTGTAGAGTTGGCATGGGCTTTGTTTTTCTTCAGAATGAGTGAAGTTACTATGACACAACAAGTTTTGTTTCACAGCAAGCACTAATGTGTGTGATGTTATGGGTGTGTTGTATGGAAAACACTGTAGGTTCTTGGGACTCTGTAGAGTGGGCAAAGGGCAAGAAATGCATTGCCACCTCACTCTAATTCCAGGAAGTTGAGGGTGGTGTGGTTTATCATGCATGTTGGAGATGTTCAAACAGGTGTGGAGCAGCCTTTTATATAGGCAGACACCTAGTTGTAGACGTTTAGGTAACAATGTGTAATCTTCCACTCTTCCCGTAAAAGCTAGTTTGATTAATTATGCATGGAGTATGGAATTACCTGCTGAATTTGCTACGTGTATTCTAGCTGAGTTTATTCCCTCCGCAGACAAGCCTGTTAAATTTTTACCTCTAATATCGAATAAAGCGTATGTAAAGAAATACATCACACTTGTGTATGTTACTGCATGAATGGTGATTGGTATTGTGACCTGTCAGGCTGTAATGCTTTCAGCATAAACTCAATACACAGTGTTTCCTAGTACTATTAGTTTCTAATACAATGAGACTAGTGTATTTTTTGGGTTTATTATCAGCGAATTTAAACAGTTTATATAGCCCTGCAGGAATTATTTTGGGATTTGCTTATTTTTGTTGCTCATATTAACTTCAGGCTACTACAGTTGATGAAAAATGAGTTGACATAGGTGGAATATTTCATTACCTTTATGGTTTGGAAAGACGTGTTTCTACTTGTAGTTGGCTCAACATTGTCACAGTTAAGTTTGTTTTTCAAATTCTGAATGTTACAATCCTTACAGCTTCTCACTAGAGCAGAAAACCATTTTCATCTATGAGCAGGACCAGGGTGCTACAGGAGCTTTAAAAGTAAATGGAGAAGTAGATGCATGCCTTCTAAAGAAGAGACAGATGGTAGCCTGTGAACCTGTGCATTTTAATTAAAAATATGCTCGTTTGCTTAGATTTATTGAATGCTTTTAATGTAATATAAGTACTCTGGTTTCATACTCTGTTTCACGAAAGGTATTTATGACATACTGCAGTTATGATAGTCTGACTTTCCTGAACCTGCCTATATCTGACACTGACATCTTAGTGTACCAAGACAATTACCAAAAGTGGCAAAAGAGGAGTTGATTATAATCTCACTTGAAAACAAGGTAATTCATTCTTCTGAGGTAGACATAATGTGTATATGAGTTTAATGAAGGCTGTCTGGTACACCTGGACTGTAAATATACTGTGTTCAAATGAAAAGGTATTATGTCTTTATTATGTCTTTCAGGTGTCAGCGGAAACAATGGCGGATAGATTTACCAGCCACTAGTGTGGTGATCACCTTTCATAATGAGGCAAGATCTGCTTTGCTTCGAACTGTTGTCAGGTACACCTAGGAGACCTTGATTTTATTTTTGGTTTTGGTTTGTTCTTTCTCTTTTTTTTTGGCTAAAGGCTATTCATTTGTGTCAGATAATGGCTTATGATAAGGAAGGGAAGTAACAATCCATTATGCTTTTCTAAACCAATTGCTGAGGGGAAACATGAGTCTTAATTTCTATGATGCCTTCAGACCTTATGTTCTGAAATAACAGTGTTAAACAAAATCTCTCCTCTTAACTACAAATACATGAACGTTATTGTTTGATGTTTGGAGGTTGGCTGTATAATATTTTCCAGGAAAATGTCAAGATGGGTTCTCAGGGGATATTTGAGCTGAAGATACCTACAAAACTTCCATGTTACAAGTTGTCTAATGCACTGATTTCTGAAGACTGAAATTTTCTGGGAGAGTGGACAATTCTACATGTGCCTTTCTTCACAAACAGTTCCCATGAGAATAAGCCAAGCTCGTATTTTTGTTGAAAATGGCATCCTGGGCTTGTTTCCACTGTGGCTTAACAAAGTAACTGCTTGTATGATGTCACTGAAAATTAAGACTGTTTAGTATTGAATACTTTTTTGTCTGTTTCAGTGTCCTTAAAAAAAGCCCATCACATCTTATTAAGGAAATCATACTGGTGGATGACTACAGTAACGATCGTAAGTACATTTACAGGGTCCTAACTTTATTTTCTTTATTCTGATAAGACTTTCTGTAGAGGCTAGTAGGTGACTTTAAGAATTAGTTACATGAATAGGAGTTTGTAAACACGAATCCAAAATCGGGTTTTATTTCTTTCATACCTGTTGTTGTGGAAACGTAGAGTTCTGATAAATGTTTCAGGTACATTTTATTGCTTCCTGTTAGCTGAAAGAACAGAGTGTGTAGTTGAAAACAGCCTTTCAATAGTATAATATGTGATGTGAAAACAAACCCCATGGTGCTTGCAGCAAATATTTTTGTAGCTCTGCTTTAAATGAATTCTGGTCTCCATTAGTCTCTTGGAAAAATTGTTAACAAATCCAAAATTGTTACATTGCAAGTAAAAAACAGACTAGGGACAGTGTGGGCCCCGTCCAGAAGCTATCAGGAGAACTGGCTACCCTGGATTTGGAGAAGGCTGAGGTTCTTCATGACTACTTTGCCTCAGTCTTCACTGCCAAATGCTCTGACCACACCACCCAAGTCTTGGAAGGCAGACGCAGGGACTGTGAGAATGAAGATCTTGGGCCCACTGTAGGAGAGGATCTGGTTCAAGACCATCTTAAGAACCTGTATGTACACAAGTCCATGGGTCCTGATGAAATCCATCCGAAGGAGGTGATCCTGCCCCTCTACTCTGCTCTCGTGAGACCTCTCTTGGAGTATTGTGTGCAGTTCTGGTGTCCTCAACATAAAAAGGACATGGAACTGTTGGAACAAGTCCAGAGGAGGGCCACGAGGATGATCAGGGGACTGGAGCACCTCCCGTGTGAGGACAGTCTGAGAAAGTTGGGGCTGTTGAGCCTGGAGAAGAGAAGGCTGTGTGGTGACCTTATAGCAGCCTTCCAGTATCTGAAGTGGGGCTATAAGGATGCTGGAGAGGGACTCTTCATTAGGGACTGTAGTGATAGAGCAAGGGGTAACGGTTTAAAACTTAAACAGAGGAAGCTCAGATTAGATATAAGGAAGAAGTTCTTTACTGTGAGGGTGGTGAGGCACTGGAATAGGTTGCCCAGGGCAGTTCTGAATGCTCCATCCCTGGTGGTGTTCAGGGCCAGGTTGGACAGATCTTTGGGTGGCATGGTTTTAGTGTGAGGTGTCTCTGCCCATGGCAAGGGGTTGGAACTTGATGATCTTAAGGTCCTTTCCAACTCTAACTATTCTGTGATTCTATAAAATAAGTCAAGATTTTTATAAGTACTAGGATATCACAATACAAACTTAAACGTTTGAAATGGACCTCTGAGTAATATTTCCTAAAGGAAGCTGATGTCTATACTTGCATTGCTAGTTTATCACAGGTTTGGGATAGGCTTAAACCTTAATGTTGTTTAAAAAGTGAGCTTTATTATATACAAAGAAAACCACTTAATCCTATTTTATTGCAGTATAGAAACTGTCTAAAATGAGCAAAGGGAGTATCACTAAATAAAAATATTACAAGAATTATACTTGTAAAAAAATAGCTGTAATTAACATAATGAGAGGGCTAATTTCTTAACCTGGTAATTTTTCTTCATTTCTGGTGATACATGTAAATACTTTTTTTTTTTAAGCCTATATATTGTATTTAGCTATTTATGACTATAAAAGTTTTTTACTACAAAGCTTTTGCTTTTCTTTGGTAGCCTGTCTTATAGTGTCATTCAGTGTTGAATATCAAAGTTGATTTGTTTGTTTTTGAATTGTAGCTGAGGATGGTGCTCTCTTGGGAAAAATTGAGAAAGTGCGGGTTCTTCGCAATGATCGCCGAGAAGGTAGGCTTCATCTGGGGGGAGAAAGATACAAATTCCATTGTGCTGCCGTACCTGTTAATCTTCATCAAGCTTTTTAAAGGAACATTCTGCTATATACATTCTGTATTGAAGGGGGTATTTTTACTTTATAAATCAATGATCTGTTGGAAGGAATAAAACCAAATGCATCTGTGGAAGTCAAAACAGTGATTCTAATTAGTTCTGGTTTGTTGTGTGCACAGTTGCCCATTGGCGTTCATGCTGAAAGCTGACTTGAGAAATTGCCTTTCACCCTCAACCTCTCCTTTCTCTTACAGTACTGAATCCTCAGTTAAGCTGCTCCCATTGTATGTAAGGTCTCACTGTAAACTGTATGAACGTTTGAAATGATCCAGCTTAAAAATAGCCCTCTCTATGGCAGGTTCCCTTCCTAGAGATCATTTTAAGAATTTAGTTTATGGACAGCCCAGTGAATACTTTGTTTTGGCAGACTCGAGAGGATTTGAGCTGCTAACAGGGCCAGGACCAGGTGTGCCACATTTGCTGAAGCCATGTAACAAACTCGTCTTACACTTCTGTTTTCTGTTTGTTGCTTTCTAAATTACGGTTTCATATCACTGAGCCCTTCACTCAACAATTTCCTGGCTGTGGAGCTTAAAGTATTAGATGTAGGCAACTGTTATTCTACAGCTGTTTGAAATAATAACAGAGTTGACAATTGAAATAGCTTACTGAATTAACAAGTATGTGTTTTGCTTGTGTAATTTTATAAGCACTGTATCTTCTAGGCTGCTAGCCTAGCCTGGGGAGCAGCTAGAAACATCATACTGTCAGAAACTGGAAATGACATGCACAAAACATGTGTTCTCCCATAATTAAAGTTGTTGCACACTGATGAGTTCTTTGTGTTTAAATAATTAATTTGGAATATGCTCATGAACAGAGGCATGTTAGGAAAGGAGGCCTTTTATGACTTGCCATGGTTGCAGTGTTCTGAGCAAGTTAATGTCATTTTTATGATCAGAACAGGACTTAAAGATGGAATGGAATAGTAAGGAAAAAAGCAGACTGAAGTAACACTTATTAGTTTTTTAGTAATTATAAATATGTTGTACTACATATACAGATTCATATTTCATTTTCAGATATACTGATGCATATTTTTAAGTACAATATGACAAATTTTTTACTATGTCAGAAAATAGCTATTTACAGGTTAAAGGTACAGTACTAGTTTAGGTGGTGTTTTTATGACATTAAGATTAAATTATTATCATAGGACCTTGTGTACTGTGTACAAAACTTGTGTAAAGTTTTGCCCAGTCATCCGTGTGTGCAACCAGGTGATAATTAAAATGCTGTAACATTCCATTTTATTGCTGATTTGATATGCTTGAGTTTGCTACTTTGCTTTTCATTTTCACTCTAGGCTTCTATATACTAATTAATTAAATATACTAATTGTATATAGGGCACATACAAATTAAAATTTAAGAGGATCAGTGAAATCAACCAGTGTAAAATGCTGTGAGTAACACAGCAGTATGAACAACAGAGGGAAGCAGCATGTTTTTAAACAAAAATTAAAATAAAAGGATGGTGCCTGTGGAGGGGATAACACAGAGTGCCTTGCTTTCAGAAATGTGATATAGTCTCATGTGTAGGGCCAGAGTCTGTCATGGGAGCAGATGCATTTTGGAGGGCATGGTAGTCTACAGAATAAATATTCAGTGGAACCTTCTCAACTCTTTCAGTTCTAAGACTGTATGTGATCGTAGAGCACTCAATGACCCGAGTGTTCACCTCCATTTTTTTTTTCCCCTTAGATCTGAAATTAGAAACACTGCTGTATGTTTTCTGTGGAAGTAGAGCAAGACAGTAGGTTCTATGAGATTGTGAGTTGGAAATAATAAGCTCTGGAAGGAGGAACTGAAAAAATAAAACAAACTTAGCCAGAGTGCATGAGGATTGGTTTGATGTAGAAAAACTGAACGGAACAGGTTCAAAGGTTGGAGCCTGGGAGACAGCATAAAAACAGGGAGGCACAGTTAGCTGCCAATGTACCACAGATAAGGTGTAGAAGTACTATCCAAGAGTACTTCAGCATAGCGCATATCTGCGACAGTGAAGTGCTCACATTTGGAGTAAGAGATAATACAAGGATCTTGATGATGCTGTTGCTGAGTGCTGGACAGAGCCAAAAATGTTTTTGTCTTGAGCATCTTGTGTTCTATTTGGCAGAGTCCAATTTGCAGGTTTTGTTTTGTAAAGGAGATAGAAAGAAGTGGGCTTGATTCTTACAGTGTTTCAGTTGGGGGGGGTAACAGAACAAATTTATTGGGAAACAATGTAAAGTAATTACTTGGCTCTGGTCTTGAGTGATAGTGAAATGATGAATTTTGAGGAGTAGCAGAGGAAAGCAGGGAGCAATTTTGCAAAGAAATTAGAGGAAGCTTGCTATTGTTTTGTACTGATGTATATGATGGTATGTTCTGGAGTTTGTGTGTATGTATAGCAAGGGCTTTAAGGAATGGTGACGTCATCCAATAAACAAATACCAAAAGAGAATGAAGGAAGGAGAGGAACAGGGTAAACCAGTGGGGGAATCTGTGTAATTGAGGTATAGAGAAGAGCCTTTTGGCTTTTCCAGAAGTTTCTTCCTAAAGAAATATTTTCAAGATAAGATTAAAAAAGACATGTAACACCCCCCCCCCAAAAAAAAAAAAAGCAAACAAAAAAAAACAAAAAAACCCCAACCAAAACAAACCAAAAAAACTACAAAACAAAAGATTTGAAAGAAACACAGGGGGAAGCTAATTAAAAGGGAGGGGTGAGGGGGAGGCTCTCAGACATGAATTAATTCTTCCTGGAAGCAATTGATAGAAGAATGGACACACTGTGGTGAGAACCAAGATGGCGGGTGGTAAAAAGGTGGAGAGTATAAATTAATAATTGTCCTAAAAAATATAAAAAGTATAAATTAATAATTCTGTCCTAAACTATAGGAAAGGGGTTTGGTTTTAGGACCAATCTTGAGTAATGTTTATCAGTATAAATACCATTTCCTGTAATATCATTCAATCTAAATACCAAATACTGCAATGCAGCTGTATTTGTGTATCGCTTGTTTTTAAAAGGTACTTCAGTTCTCTTGGTTAAATTGATTGAGACCTGTAGACTAGGGTGCAATAGCTTAGAAGCTTGCAGGCTGTTTTGTATGAAGTAATTGTTAACTACTGTCTCATTTTGGTAATGAAACTAGTGTGTTTGTTCTGTCTGAGATAGGGTAATTTAATTCACAACTAACTTGGAATGCAGTAGGTTCTCACTACTGTGTTTTCCTCAGTAAGGACTTAAAACTTTATATCTTTACTTCTCAGGCTTGATGCGCTCCCGTGTCAGAGGTGCCGATGCAGCACAGGCAAAAGTGCTGACCTTCCTGGATAGTCACTGTGAATGTAATGAACACTGGCTGGAACCACTTCTGGAAAGAGTAGCTGAGGTTAGTAAAGAATTTTAAAGTAATTTCCTGAAGGAGTAGCTTTTAGATTTTAAAGCCATCTGTTTTATACTACATTAATTTTATGCATTTTTATAAGGAAACCTTTTCTCTGAAATGAGATGATGGAGGAGATCGGAGTATTCGGTGATTAAAACACATTTTTGTTCATTTAATGTGTGAACGTTGGAGCATAAAATCTGAATATTTATTGCTATCTTTATGAGCAATTCAAATATATGCTTCTTTGGTTCTTTAGGGACCTCCTCAGTAAGTGTTGAAAGTCTTTTGAGCAAAGTATAGTTCTCCTCAACCAACATCATCTCAATGTAATTCAGTTTATCTGAGTATTTATGCCTCATTGAGATTCAGTGTGATAATAAGAGAGAGGTTGAGCTGTGAAGCCAAAATCCTCATGGAAATCAGCAGGGACTGTGGGCTCTCAGCTTCTGTGAAAATGACACTTAGTCTGTGTCCCGGAAAAGCAATTGAGAGGATTGAGAGTGAAAGTGTAGTATTTTCTCGAGGGACTGGTTATACTTGTTAACTTCCTCTGGAGAAACTCAGTTGAAGTGGAAAGTGAATCAAGTGTGATCCCCAAAAGCACTGGGGAACACTCAAGACAACAGGGTTTTTCTTCTTTCTTAATTGCATTCCCTTTCTGGTAAACTCCCCTTCCTGTAAGGGGAAGCAGTTAATTTCAGAATGCTCCTGATCAAAATGGTGTTGCTCTAAGTACTGTGTCGTTAATGGCCAGGTCTTTGCTCATCCTACCTATGCTTTTCTTTGTATTTGCCCCCAGAAAGGAGAGGGGGTGGAAAAAGGAAGGTAACCCCATATATTCAGCATGCCAATAGAGAAGCTGTCAATTGATGACTGATTTTCCTTATTTTGTTTGGTTCTGTGATGCTTTCCAGAATCATATGTATAAATCATTTAGGTTGGAAAGGATCTTTAAGATCATGTCCAAACTAGTTAAACTAGCACTGCCAAGACCACTACTGAACCATGTCCATAAGTGTCATGTCTAGATGCGTTTTAAACAATGACAATGCCTTTTAAATACCTCCAGGGATGGTGACTCCACTTTCCTGGGCAGCCTCTTCTAATGCTTGACAACCTTTCTGGTGGATAAATGTTTCCTATTATCCAGTCTAAACCTCTCCTGGTGCAACTTGAGGAGATTTCTTCTTGTCCTATCGCTTGTTACTTGGGAGAGGAGACTTGACACCCAGCTTGCTGCAGCCTCCTTTCAGGTAGTTGCAGAGAGCGATCAGGTAATCCCTGAGCCTCCTTTTTTTCCAGGCTAAATAATCCAAGTTCCCTCAGCTACTCCTCATCACACTTGTGCTCTAGACCCTTTGTTGCCCTTTGTCGGACACACTCCAGGACATCAATGTCTGTCTTGTGGTGAGGGGGCCAAAATTTAACACAGGTTTTGAGGTGCTGAGTACATGGGGCCGATCCCTTCCCTAGTCCTGCTGGCCACACTGTTTCTGATACAAGCCAGGATGCCCTTGGCTTCCTTGGCTGCCTGGGCCCAAGCTGGTTTATGTTCAGACAGCTGTCAACAGACACCTCCAGGTCCTTTTCCACTAGGCAGCTTTCCATCCACTCTTCCCTAAACCTGTGGTGTTGTATGGGGTTGTTGTGACCTAAGTGCAGGACCTAGCACTGAGCCTTGTTTAACCTCATACAATTGGTCTCAGTTCATTGTATTCACTGTGTATTTCAGTAATACTGTAAGTTGCCTAATCCTGTTTTGGAGCAGAAATAACTAATCAGTTCAAACCTGGATACTATTAAAGGACCTAGAGCTTACAAAGCCTTTGTGTGAGTAATGTAGCAATTCCTTCTGGTTTGTTGTGTTTTTTTTTTTTCCCCTGTGTACAGTGCTACAGACTCAAAAGTGTTGGGGAGTTTCTTTGTAACTAACCAGAAAAATAAATTGGAAGGCATTAAATATATTTCGAAAGGAAGTTGAGTATGCCTGCAGGTAAAGCACTAATGGATTCTGGGATTTGGGAACTGTTTTCAGGCCTTTTTGTGTAAATGCTGAATGTAAACCCTCTTATTAAATTGTTGACAGTTTTGTTAGGACACATCATTATATGTGGTATACTTGATGGGAAAAACTGGTGCATAATTTGCTTTGTGCAGCAGCTACTTTTTAGCAGCACATACATTAGTAGATCCTTCAAAATTTGCTCCTCACCATTGTCACTATGATAAACACTAATTGTTTTCACCTGTATGAGTACAGTTACATTCCTAAAAGTTTGATGTACTGTTAAATAATTGATGTGGAATTCCAGTTTACTTTTATCTGGGACTAGATTCTCAACCAGCAGGCATGGGGATTGATGACATAGCTTCTAAGCTTTCTGCTTGTTCAAATGATTAAGGCATGGATAATGTTTACACGTAGTATATGATAGTTCTTTGTTATTTTAAATGGATTGATTTAGCTCACTGTGCAGACAATCTGTTACTTGCTGTTAATTGGGAGTGTTTTCTTGATAGTCTCAGTGACAATAAACTAAATAGATATGAAGTCATTTCTGCTCTGGGCTCAAAGGTGACTTTCAGGTCAGGACTAATATGCATTAATACAGTATTTTCTGATGTGCTGCTATATTTGTTCTGTATATGGTGGAAAGTGTAGGTTTCTTCTTTTCTCCATTTGGTCTAGAATTGCCCTGTTGGCATTTCATTCTGTCAGACTTTTGGGGGATTAGTTGTGTGTGTTACAGTTTAAAAATTTATAGCTTACAAGGAACAGTCTGAATTGAATGAGCTATATATTACTCTGTCTGATGTGCTGCAGCCACTTCAGAAATCTGTGTCTCTGAGATCTTGCTTGTTAGGAACACTTGAGACATCAAGCTTTCCTCTTCAGTTGAATGATGGTCCATCCCACAGTTATTTTTCTTTGAGATGATTTCCTGGTTAGAGTATCTTAGTCTGTTGACCGTGCTTGCTTAGCATTTCTAGAGGGGTCTGGCACTGGTGGGGATTTTTCTTCAGAAATTTGAACAAAGGCTTAAAGCAGAAGCAACATACATACAAGGTGAGTATTTGAGTTCATACGTGTATGGATACCCAGATACGTTGGAGCTGGTCTATGTTCTCCCTCTTTGTTCTCTCCCAGAGAATGTTTTTCTGCTGGTTCCCTAAGGTTACCTTTTATACCCTCTAGACTTGTGTGTGTTAGGGGAGATTAATGAGGAGACAGTAGGGGTTAACCCTTTGATTTCCCCAAAAGTCAACATATTAATAAGCATACAGAGTCTTGAGAACACTGGTAGCTACTAGCTGTTTCATGAACATTTGTCTACTTGGCTTTTTCCATTTCAAATTTCTAAGCACTTTGACATTCTATTCTTGTAAATCAGTTATATGAGAAAAAATAAGAATTTAAAGATTCTGTTGCAGAACTGTTCTAATCTGTTTTCATAGCATAACTGTAAATCCTATATCACTTTCAGGAAGGTATTTTTAAACAAAGAAGATATTAAAAAGCAGGAAGATCTAAGATTAAGAAATGAGGTGTGGATCCCTTTCTCATATCTGATTTTTGCGACCTTGAATGAGTCAACTTTTAACTGCCACAATGCTGAAAGGATATATTCATATTTTATCTTCAGAGTCTTGTGTAGCTTAATCTTTGAAATGGTTTGGGTTTTTTTTGGGGGGTGGGAGGAAGGAAGCAATGTATGCACAATCTTGAGGATAATTTCTGATGGTTTATGAGAATAATATGTAATAGTCTAACTGTCTAGAGCATGCATAACTTCCTAATGAAATATGGAGATAAAATTGTCTGCTACAGACTTCCAGGCAGTAGAGACTTGCAGTATTCACAGGCTGTTTCTTTCCATTATCTTCATCAAGGTGCACATGGTTTTACAATTGTATTTTCCATGATAAGTTATGGTGTCAACCGCTCTGAAAGATTTCTAGTTCAATCACCCTGTAGATAAGTAAGTGTCTTCTTGTAGGATAATTTAAAGGGAGCAGCTGCTTTTTAGTGTTTTAAGTGAAATTAACTTGCTGTACTTGAGAGACTCACAAGCTCTTTTTAGCAATCTCTGCATTAAAAACTTTGTGGTGCTCTGCAAAGCATCCCCTTCAGAATGTGCAAGTCTTTTGTCTGCTTTGCTGCTAGAGCAAATCTATAATTTCAGATCATGACAGGAACAGCATGTTTCCAAGCGAACAAAGTGGGGTTATACAATGAACTGAATGCTCACAACCTGGGTATTTGTCTGTCAGAGAAACAAGTGGAAGTTGTTTAAATAATGTATTAGGTGTAGTAAGTGGTGTTAGTGTGGTGTTGCACTGATATTAATAGAATTAATCAGGCCAACAGCAAAAGTTTGAGGAAATCTTAAATGCACAGACACAGAGTCCTACCTACTTACTCAGCATGGGGGAGGCAAATTGAAGCCTAACTGAAGCTTTACCTGATGTGACACCTAACAGTTTGGGCAACTTTTATCACCAGGGTCAATTGTACCAAATAGAAGCATTTAAGAAAAATGCAGAGTTTTGCCAGAAAGTTTTTCTTCAAGATGGGCATAGATGTATAAGCCAACCCAGCTAAGGAAAGAGGGGGGGGAAAGAAAGGAAGGATGGTTTCAGTTTTGTAATTCATGCTGATGGGTATATTGTGAATAATTAGATAGGCTGGATAGCTTGACTAATAAATAAAGGAGTTTCCTAATTCTCATACTGTATACAGAATGCCTAAAATAAGGTCATGGGTGCACCTGAAGTGCTTTAATGGTATAGGGGGGCATACCAACACAATTAGTGTTTTGCAGTGAAGGTGTAGTAAATCGTAATTGCCTCTCAGCTACAACAGTTAGCAAAATTGTATGCTTGCATTACAAACAGGGCTGCAGCTAACAGAAGCAGAAGTTAGAGGTGATTGATGGAGGAATAGGACAGATTGGTCTCTCTTGTCCCTGTTTCTAGTTTGCTTTAGACTAAGCTTAGTGGCAGACCTGATTAAATTTTGTTATATCCCGCATAAAAGCACGTATTTGTCTCGGATGGTATAGCCCCAGTCATACTTAAAAGGAACGTAGAAATCTACAGTGATGCTGGCTGTGAGCCAGCAGAGTGCCCAGGCAGCCAAGAAGGCCAACAGCATCCTGGTCTGTATGAGAAATAGTATGGCAACAGGGCCAGGGCATCGATCCTCCCCCTGTACTCGGCACTGGTGAGGCCGCATCTCAAATCCTGTGTTCAGTTCTGGGCCTCTCACTACAAGACAGACATTGAGGTGGTGGAGTGGGTCCAGAGAAGGGCAATAAAGCTGGATGAAAGGTCTGGAGAACAAGTCTTATGAGGAACGGCTGAGGGAACTGGGGTTGTGTAGTCTGGAGAAGGGAAGGCTCAAGGGGGAGCTTTACTGCTCTCTACTACAGCTACCTGAAACGAGGTTGTAGTGAGGTGGGTGTCAGTCTCTTCTTCAAAGTAATAAGCGATAGAACAAGAAGTAATGGCCTCAAGCTGCACCAGGGGAGATTTAAATTGGATATTGGGAAACATTTCTTCACAGAGACGGTGATCAGGCATTGGAACAGGCTTTCCAGGGAAGTGGTGGAATCACTGTCCCTGGAAGTGTTCAAAAACCATATAGGTGAGGCACTCAATGACATGCTTTAGTGGTAGTCTTGGCAGTCCTGGGGTAATGGTTGGACTTGATGGTTTTAAAGGTCTTTTCCAACCTAGTTGATTCTGTGATTCTGTGAGTCTTCAGCTTTTAGCTTAATCCTCAGCTCAGCTTCTCTTGAATTCACTTGGATTCTCCTTTTGGCTAATACAGAAGTTAGTGACCTTTTGCTCACTCAGGCAGAATGACCTAGTAAAAGCCAATTGTAATTAGGGCTTATTAAAATCAGCATAGATTGCATAATTAAGATTCAATAAATGAGAATGGGTGTTTAATGTCCTTATTGGACCAAGCAAAGCATTTGACTAAGAATTGCTTCTAAGTCTCTTGTTATGAGCTCAAGCTATTCTCATACTAGTCAGGTTCCAGTCTGTTGTGTGTGATACTCATTAGCAAAGGGATGCGTTGCTGAACCACTGTTCAGAATATATGTATTGTTGTTTGAAGACATACTTATGGAATAAATTCTTAAGATGGACATGTCTAGGTTGGTATGGTTTATAGCCACGAGAACTGTTTCTCTGTAACAGAGATAGCAAAATTTCTCCTGTTCAAAACTGGTTTCTTTTATATTCACAGATTTGATGATACACTGTTCTGAAGTTATCTGTGCTCCTTGAATGATGTTAACTTGTGGAGCTCAAACTTCTATTTTGAAATCAACCAAAATGCTATAGAAATTACGCTTCAGTGTGTAGATGTAATTTCTTTTTTTTCCGCAGTAAATCACGGAGACAAACTAGCTTAACCATGATACTGCATTTCTAATATTAGATGAGTCTCATTTTTTTTAGAGTACATTTTTTTTAGAGTCTGTGATCCTGCTGGATGATGCATGTGGAGCTGTTGGAAAGATTTTTTTGTTTTATTTTTCTTAAACTATAACATTGCTCAGAGTAGTATATGAGATCATGGTTGGCCAGGGAAATGTGCTATCTGTACCACTCTAATCTTGGCTGCTGGAGGTTAATAGCATTCATTAGTCTGAGGTGTTTTTAGGTTCTCTTTGCTACCTAAATATCCGATTGTGAAGTGTGATTCTTCTAGTGTTGAATGGATTAGCATAAACCTAAGACTTTTCTGACTGCAGAAAGGCCTAAGTGTTCCATAAAGGTTGAAATGATAAGATTCTAGCATACTGCGTGGCTAGGGAGATTTGCTGTGGAAAATATGAATTGCCTGGATGCTTCTTTTCTTTGAGCAGGTTTAAAAGTAAGAATGGAAGCATTGTGTGCTCAAGTGCCTTTAGAACTACAAGTTTGCTGCCTTCTTCAAGAGCAAGTCAGAAGAGGGGGATTACTTAAATATAAGTAGCCTAGCACAGAAGAGTTTTCCCAGCCGTATTGTGTGGTTTCTCCTTTATGAAGCAGTGCTGAGCAAGGCTGTTTGTAGTTCAGGCTATTCAGATCCGCAAGTTGAAGTAGGGGGAGAGCTGGGGAAGAAGTGCTAATGAAATCCTGCTGAACTGTTCAACATCTCATTCTGCCTGAATCTTTATATATTGATTTCCTTATTTCAATATTACTTTCTAATATTTATTTTAGGACAAGACCAGAGTTGTGTCTCCTATTATTGATGTAATTAATATGGACAACTTCCAGTACGTGGGGGCGTCAGCTGATTTAAAAGGCGGTATGTACCTGTACTGGAATATAGATTTAAAACAGAAAAAAGGCATCAAGAATCAAAGCTCATAATCACTGCAATTGTGGAATGGGCAGTTAATGTACTGTTCTTCCCTTTCATGTATCTAGTTTTAAGTCCTGTAGGTCACTTGTTTATAGGCTTTGATTTTAATTGACCTTACTGGCCTCTGCTTTAAAACAGTTCATCTTTATTATACTAATCCTTAAAAGTTTATGCTTCCTTTTACCAATGTGCAAGACTTGCTCCGATGTTTGTAGGATTGTGTAAATGTGTCAGAATAAGCTTATGGCCAGAGCTTATGATTCCCTTTTTAGATAGGACAGGCTTTCATTGCTCACTAGCTTAGAAGCCCACCAGCAATGCGGTGCCTATGAGTTTTTATTTCAAGATGCTGGTTTGCTTAAAAAATTAAACTCTTCTGAATAAGCAGAAAGCTTTGGAATGTGTTTAAAAGAGAAATGTTTTTGTTAGCCATGATCTGGAATTGTGAAGAGGGTAACATGTGACCATGAAAATTTGTAGTGTTTAAACATTTACCATTACAAAATTCCCTGTTAAATTGAGTTTAGAAGTACCTCAGTTTCTCTCCATCTAGCTAGTTTAAACTGTTGACAGCAAATAGTAAAAAGACTTGTGAACCCCCCGATAGGAATAAATAAATCAATCAATCCTCCCCTCTGCTTTGTCAAAGAGAAGGAGGACAACCACACTAAAATCCTTACTTATTACAAGTTTTTAAAGCTTTTTTTCCCTGTTAGCAAGACCCTAGCATGTGAAGTAGCTGTTCTCAGCGCGTCCTTCCCCCCCTTTTTTTAATAATTGTTCTCACAATGCTGGAAACTGAACTGGCTGCATAAAGATATAAGATGAGCCACGACATGGAAATTGTACAGCGCTGTTTTCACACTTTTTCTGAATAGGCTTTCTTGAGCAAGGAATGGAAAAAACAATTTCAAGTCTGTTCTTTCAGTTACTAGTCTCTAACTGGCCACCAAGCATTGTTCCAATAAACTATAATAAAAGCAATCTTTGTGTAATGTTGCATATGCTTCAATTCATCAGTGATATGGAAGTGAGAGGTTCTGTATCCTTTTAATTAACATTTTGAAATAAGACCTACAGTGCATATATTCACAGTATGCTAATGTATAGTTCTGTGCTATTATCCGTGTGCCAGCTTTATTAAAACCTTTAGTCTTTTACCCAATCTATTCATATACTTAGAGTATGGAAATCTCTGTACCATTATGTGGATCTTATTGTTGTCTGCAGTAGGAGGAGGAATTCTTTCATTGAAACCTTTGATTGGTTCCTGCAGGGTTCATGCTCTTTAATTCTTCCCAAGTGAAGTGGGAAAAGATTTAGAGATCATTTCACTTGTTACTGCTTTTCATGCTTCATCTTTGGAACTAAGTTTCCCTCTTTTTTTTTCTTTCTTTTCTTTTTTAAACCATCTTAGTGCTTATTTTCTCCCCTCATACACAACAGCAATAGATTATTTATATATATATATTTTTTAAAGTGTATGTGGCCTCTGTACTTCTGGATTGAGGAGTGTGAAGTAGCTTTTTTTTTTTTAATGCTAACAACAGAAATTTTGCGTGTACCAGTGTTTAAAGCTATCTGGGGGTCTGTTGAAACATGAATAATAGATTTCTCTTCAGTTCTCAGAGGACAGATTACTATGTTAGAGGCACTACTGCATTTGGCATCCCAGGACACTTTTCACTGGGGCCAAGTCTAAACATGGAAATCAAACTATGCTTTCAACCTCAGATACAGTATCTGTGTGAAGCATGGACAGCTGGGACAGCATTTGTCTGCTCTGTTTTGAGAGGGCTTAATCACCCAAGACCAGGAACCCAGCAAATGCTACAAACTTTTAAAGTGGACAGAGCTGAAACAATTGGCAAGTCTGGCCAGCACTAAATCCATGCACTTCATGTTACAAATTATTTTTGAGGAGGGATTTGCCAAAGTGTTTATGCTGCTCTGAGAAGGACTTTAATTACTGGAATAAACTGTAGTTAACCAAGATCTAATAATTTAGAGTATGCCTGCAATGCGGTTTACACTGGATAGAATTTCATATTGGATATGCACTTGTGTTTAAAAATACTTCTTTTACAGAGTTACTGATATTATCTCATTGAATGCAGGTTTTTCCCAGAGTCAGTGAAAATGGAGACGGAAAACTATTTTTATGGGTAGACAATTCATACACTTGTTCAGCATTTGCAAGAGTGTTGTGTTCCAAAAGAGACCCCTTGTGTTCACTAGAGTGTATGTAACTCTATCTCTACCACTTCTGTTGGAGAACAGTAGGGTTTTTTAAGTTCTCCCAGATGCAAGTAATTTTGCTGGGCATGTATGATGAAATGTGACTTTTTAACTGCAGCGAAATATTGGAGCTCATTTTACTTTCCATGCTGGAGGCTTTGCAGTAATATAGATTGTAGTAATTTTACTGTTTTGCTACTTGGAGTTTTGGAGTAGTTAGATGGTCTTTCATTTTTACAGTGCAGCAGTTCATAAGATACTCAAACATGGAGAGAAAGAGTTGGCATGCATTCTGTGAAGACTGTTTAGGATAATTTCTGTATTTTGTGTGCGTGAGATAAATATCTTGTGAGTTAAACCGAAAACTGTTTAGTTTTCAGCTCCCCACATTAATCATTACTACACATTTGCGGATGCAGACAGATAGTTTGTAGGACTGTATTTGTTGTGTGTTTACCTTAGCTTTTCCCCCATTTCCCTACAAAGTAATTGCCTTATCTTTATGCTGGATAAAGAAAACTATTGACATCTGTGCACCAGAGATCTGGAAATCATTCATTACATGACCTCATAGGATCTAAATGTGTTTGGCAGCAGGCACTTCATATAAGGCTGATTTGTGTCTCCCAGGTGTACAGGGAGAGGGCTGTGGACCTTGCATAGTTTTTAAACAAGTGTTCATGCTTATGGGCCTAACCCAGCTCAAAAACTGTTACGAAAGTGTTTCCTATAGGAAGTTTGTCTTATACCAGCCATGTATCGCTGCCTAAAGGAGGTAATTCAAATGGCTGTCAGCTTTCGCTGCTCTAGGTGACCTATCAGTCTTGTTTATTCTAATGGTCTTTATGTGCTTCTGTGCTTAATTCGCGAAAGGACCAGACCAACTGTTGCTGTGTGTACATGCATACATGTGCATATGTAAGGGAAGTAAGATTTTGGTCCTCTAGTGGTTGCCTCAGGTTTAAAAAATGATGCACATGAAAGCATACAGTGGGAGAAAGCAGGACGTTGCATGAATGTTAATAAGAGAAGTGGGATGTAACCTGTTGTGACCTGTATGATAGAGAGCTCCTGCTGATGGAGGACTACCAAGGGTAGTGCAAAAAGCCTGTAAACATAAATATTTGATGAGAGTTGAAATGCAATTGTACAGTAAGGAATGCTGGAAACATTTGTAGTGGCTAGAAGATCTTGATGTGATAATTTATTTGATGTAAGGGTAATGAGATGTGTATAAAGCTTTTGCTTTGTCACTTGTTGACTGGGTTTCTTACTTTGTGTAATAGATGGCAACAGGAGAAAGCAACATTATTTTGTATTTGAGATTACTTTTTTTTTATTGTTCTGTCATCTTCTTTACCTTTCATCTATTCTCCTACTTGTTTATTTTCTTCCCAGAAGTTTGTACAAGTTTAAATTTTTAATTTAAATTACAGTTCCCAGTGCTTTCAGTTAACATTATGTTACTACAAGTTGAATGATGACCACAGCCTTTCTAACATCCTACTCTAATATTTTCTTCTTGAAGGCTTTGATTGGAACCTGGTGTTCAAATGGGATTACATGACACCAGAGCAAAGAAGAGCACGACAAGGAAATCCTGTAGCTCCCATAAAGTATGTCTGTACCGCCACGTCTTTTCTCTATCAGCATGTAGTTTTCAGCTAAAAAAAGTTAGAAATCATGTTCTCTGAGTCAGAGAGGGGATCTTTACTATAGCTTCTCTAGCACTGAAATTTCCTTCAAATTTATGTAATGTTATGTGACTCTCAGAATTATATTTAAAAAAATACTTTAAAGCACACTGATAGACAATTTACTCTTCACAAAAAGTAGAACCAAAACATAGTTGGTATGTCTTGAGGGCTAAAAATAGAGTATCGGTTTTAATGTTTTATTGCTGGCACAAATTGCCCCACTTCACATAAGGAACTGGTGAGCCAAATGGAGATTCGGGGACTACTTCAGAAGGTAGTCATAACACCTTATATGCCATAGGAATGTGTGCAGGCAACATTTAATGTGTTAGATGCACAATTAGCATTTGAAAGTGTTGCAGTTTTTTTTGTTTTTTTTTCCCAAGGATGTATTAATCTTGAGATGCAAATAATAGTTACCTCCCAGCTCATGGTTCTGTATTTCATGCATTGTTTCTTGTTTTTTTAGGACACCCATGATAGCTGGTGGCTTGTTTGTGATGGACAAATCCTATTTTGAAGAACTAGGGAAGTATGACATGATGATGGATGTTTGGGGTGGAGAAAACTTGGGTATGTATATTATTTACTTTGGGATCAGTCTTGAAAGTAGGTTTTGTCGTTGCCTTTAGTGTCAGAGTTATGGTCTTCCTGATTTTGTGCAAAGAAGTTTAAAACCAGAGTTAGATCTTCACATGCAGTATTGGCAAAATCAAAAAAGTTTATTTCAATGGAGAAAAATAAAACAAGGTAGGAATTATGTGCTAAATATGGAAGAATAAAAGTATTTGTTCATTAAGCAGGAATCTTTTCACTTTTATTTTTTTGTAATGGACTTTGGTTGATAAAGAATTACTGAATGTAGATGGACAATTGCTTTCAAAATGGCAGTCTTGTTTTAATGTTGTATCCTCATCTAAAGTTACTCATTATAGAATCATAGAATAGTTATGGTTGGAAAGGACCTTAAGATCATCTAGTTCCAACCCCTCTGCCATGGACAGGGACACCTCACACTAAACCATGCCACCCAAGGCTCTGTCCATCCTGGTCTTGAAGACTGTCAGGGATGGAGCATTCACAACCTCCTTGGGCAACCTATTCCAGTGCCTCACCACCCTTACAGTAAAGAATTTCTTCCTTATATCTAATCTAAACTTCTAGTCTAAACTTCCCCTGTTTAAACCTGTTACCCCTTGTCCTATCACTACAGTCTCTAATGAAGAGTCCCCCCCAGCATCTTTATAGGCCCCCTTCAGCTACTGGAAGGCTGCTATGAGGTCTCCACGCAGCCTTCTCTTCTTCAGGCTGAACAGCCCCAACTTTCTCAGCCCATCTTCATACAGGAGGTGCTCCAGCCCCTGATCATCCTCATAGCCCTCCTCTGGACTTGTTCCAACAGTTCCATGTCCTTTTTATGTTGAGAACACCAGAACTGCACACGGTACTCCAAGTAAGGTCTCATGAGAGCAATTAGAGGGGCAGGATCCTGTTTAAATGCTGGCCATGTAAGGCATATTTTAAGATGTTGCTGAAATTAAATTGTGAAAAGTAGAACGCAGGAGTTCATGAGTTTAATGTTCTTGCATACATCTTAAAAAAATCAACACTTAGCTGACTGAAGAATAATTTATTTCTTAATAATATCATACTGCCTGGCATCTGAACTAAGTAATTCTGTACACCTGCTTTGGCCCTATGAGATAATTCTGGTTGAGAGGACAATTTTGCCCTAGTTCCTCATTTTCAGATGTTTCAGTGAGTTGTGTTTAGGGAAGAGGGAGGAGGGCTGCAAGAACTTGTATTTTAGCCATTTCTTCTTTGACCTTGTGGTTAGATCTGTCTTTAGTAGTGGTTGTTTGTTTTTTTTTTATTTTCTGCATTACAGTATTAAACAAAGTTTTTCTCCAGTTAAGAATGGTATTACTTGTATTAAGATAAAAAAGATTTGAGAAGAGCAGAAGTCTACAACTTCTCAAGACTTCCAGTCTGTCATTACTGTAGTTTTCTAGGGTAGAAATGCATCTCAGACATTCGAAGTGGTGTGTTTTAGGATCAGCTCTAAGTCTAGAAACTTTTCTACTGCACGTGCTAGCTGCAAAATACTAAAATACTTTCAACTTGTAAAAAGCTCATGAGTATTTTGAGTTGCTGAAATATGTTTATGCATTGAGCATATGCGTGGCCTGCCAGGAAATGTCTGCTGTAGAAAGTACACTAAGTATGGAGGCATGGTAACCAAATGCTTAACACTCCTTTAAGGAACTTCAAGCCTGGAATTGGCATCCTTGCAGTCCAGTCTCTAACTTTTCTATGCAGTGTACCAAAGAAACCTCTGGTGTGTTTTGAGCAGTTACTTTCTGTCTTTCTTTTTCTCACTGTTTTGGCTGTATGTTGCTAAATTGTGTTAATATGAATATCATAATTTTTCATTTTTTTTAATGTCCTGGAAAGTCATTGGATAAACTTACTACAGCAATACTTGCGCTCACTTTTTTTGCCACTAGAGCACTGAAATATTTGGTTAGCTTCAAGCATGTACTTGAGTGACTGAGTTTTTTTCTGGAAATTTAGCAGCTGCTTCTATGCTTTGATAATTGAGGCCTTGATAGCAGGAAAGGGCACAAGCAACAGCTCCGCAGTCAAGGTGAGAAGACTACATGCAAAAAGCTGTCACTGCTGCTCCTGCTGCATTCTGTTCCCCCTCCTTCATGGGAAGGAGGAGATGGAGACTTTGGGGTGCCTTCTCTCTGCTCCTTGAAAAGGCAAAGTCAGTCAGTACAGCAGACAGCTAATGATTTCTTCGTAGCTGCCAGACTAACTGATGACAAGTAAAAATCACATGGCATATGATTTAATTGGCAATAAATGACACATGCACCAGATACCAGAAATCTGTGATGTGCAGTTTAAAATTCAACATAGCGCTCATCAGGCCTCTTTACTCTCAAGTATATCTCTGTATCAGCAACTTCATGTCATATGCAGATACCCTGATAGAGGGACTTGCAAAATAGTTCTGTATGTTATTTTTATGCTTTATAAAACATAGCATTTTTCTTTCAAGCATGTGCAGAGCAGCTGGTCTATAAGATTTTGTTCACATTAGTATAATGTCAACTTTACAAATTTCAAGATGGACCTGCAGTGATTTGTCTAAATTAGCAAGGAGAGAGCTTTTGCCATGAAGACCCAGTTTTCAGATTATTGCTAGATGTGACTGATAATGTGTTTGCTGTACAAAACATGGATCAAAGTTTGTTCAGTCTTGTCTTGAATTTGTAAACTCTAATTCTAAGACTCCTTGCAATGCTTTTTTGATAAGCATAGGAAAATTGGAGTACACTGGAGAACAGGGTGGACTCTTTAGAAGGTTTGGGTCTAATTTGAAAACTTAGGCTTTTCTTAATTTTGCTTAAATCGGGAAGCAAGTAAGACATTTCCTGTCTTGTGTATCAATGACACACTACAATAAAATGAGCAGTCTGTTACTGAGAGGTCTCGCACTATCTCATGCAACTAAAGAATGTTTGACATGCTGTTTTATGCCTTTTTAATGAAAAACTGGGTCCACTGAAATTGTTACAATAGTATCACTTCTCCCACTGTTTGAGCATGGCAAAAAAACATGTCTTGAAGGAGTTTCTGGGTTTTCTTGAAGTTGTAGTTGATGTACATTACTGCTTTAAAAGGCTCTAGAATCCATGTTGGTGCAAGTAAAAATTAGTTTGCTTCTCTCTCTACTTAGTATTCCTTTGCTGTCTTTCCCATAGAACTATTTTTCATCATTTTCAGTTTTATTTTGGGGATTTTTCAGAGTCTAAGGTGTGAAAAATATAGGTTGATATTTCTGGGAGTTTATGGAGGGAGAATTAATCAAATTAACATACACAGTAGAAGCAGCTATGCCTAATGAAAAGTTGACAAAAGATATTTCTAAATTACTTCTAAAACAAAAATACTTTTTCAATGCCTAAATATATTCAATAGGTGACAGTGACTCTTTGGATTAAACCTTCAAATGTATCATTTAAAAAAGAGTGAGCTTTAGGCATACCACATTGACCTTTATTTTTAACAAGAATCTCACTTTACGTCATTTCAAAGGTGTGTATGTAATAATATATATAATATAATTATATGTAATAATACTTAGATTAGTCCGGTACTAGATTTCAAGCATTTGGTCCGTACTTGGTTTCCTAATGCCAAACCCTTTGTCTTTGAGATCTCCCTGTCTTTCACTAGGCTGTCCTCACCAAGTGCAGCATCCTGTCATGTTGAGCTAATAACTGTATGAACTGTCTAGCAAAAGTGCGTAAAACTTCAAAGTGGAACAAGAAAACTGTTACTGCTCAAATTGTGAAAGCAGAGGCGTATGGTACAAAATGAGCTAGATATGGGGAAGCCTGCAATTATCTATATATGTATAAAAAAAACCTGAAGTCAGTATTGTGAAAAATGTACAGAAAGAATGTCATGTTCAGTTGCTTTAAAAATTACTTTTGCCTCTTGTCCCATGTTCATTCAAGACCATAAGTTACTGGCAAAGACAGTATTGCCGTGAATATTTTTGGAGGATGATCTGTCTTCGGATTGGACTATGTTGACTGTCTGGGGTTCATGAATATGCCTAATTGACCCTGATGCAATAGAATTTCACTGAAGTAAAACAAATAGGAAATGGTCATTGTAAAACCAAAGATCATTGGGAAGAAGGGCAGTTACGGTGCTCCATCAGTAGCTGAAATCACAGCGCCTCTCTCTTTCTTGGGGGGGGTGTTTTGGTTGGTTTTTTTTGGGGGTGGTGTTTTTTTTTTGTTGTTGTTTGTGTTTTGGTTTTTTAAATGATTCTTTTTCGCTGGACAGACAGTCCCAAAGCCGTGCTCTCTAACCTTGGGGGTGGTTTTGGTGTTTGGGTTGTTTTTTTTCTGACTTTAATTTTTGAAGTAATGCGATTTTTATGACTTGTGTATGTGGGAAGAAGGCTTCTGAGGGAAGAAATGACACTTAGTATGACTTAGTCATCAGAGGTAGACACTGACTTTAGAGCTGCATTATTTATATACTTATCCATGTTTAAGCTGTGAAAACATAATGAATTATTATAAACAGCCTTGAAACAAAGTGTAGCACTCAGTAAGAGAAAGGTGTATAAATATTTCTAGACCTTCTTGTCCTCACTAGCTGGGACAGCTCACTGGATTTGCTTTGAAGTGTACTGTCCATAACCTTCAGTTTACAGAAGCTGCATCTTTATTTGCTCTGTCTCCAAAATAAGTTTGATTTGATGTGACTCCTTCCATACAAGGTGTTTCGGGGTGTATGGTTATCTTCTATAATATGTTTGCAGCTCTAATCTATTGAGTGTTTTATAACGCTTTGATTTTGTCTATTGTGTTATTCCATCTTTAGCTGAAAATTTTTATTATAAGCTAGATCATTATTTTATCTAGTGCTGTGTACCCTTTAGACAAAGTGTAGTAACAGTAAATATAGACAGAACTTACTCTGGCCAATTGCAGCATGGTTTTTGAATTTGGGGACTGCTGCTAACCTCTGATTTTGCTTCCCATTTAACAGGATTGTTTCTCCTGAGCTTGGAGAACAATGAATGCTTAGATATGCCTTTGTTTATCCTAGAATTTCTCAGAAAACTATGTCACTGATTTTCTCAGCAATAATCACTAAAACCCTTATCTGTAAATGGTATACTTCAAAATTACACTGTTTAGCGATGTTGGTCTTTCATTCATGTTTTTATTTCAGAAATCTCATTCAGAGTTTGGCAGTGTGGTGGAAGCCTAGAAATCATCCCTTGCAGCAGAGTGGGTCACGTATTCCGCAAACAGCATCCTTACACATTTCCTGGTGGGAGTGGTACAGTGTTTGCAAGGTAACTGTTAAGGTCTTCAGCTAAATAGTAATGTTTCAGATTTCTTCAGGTGATCAGCAGGTGGCAGAAATTTCATTTTAAGGATCTTTTCTTTATAAACATTTGCAATATTATCTAGCATGGAAAAATACAAATTTTAAAAAGTTACTTTGAGGCAGCTACACAGAGAGAAGAACAAGAGAGTTACAAAAGGGAAACTTCTAATAGACAGAGCCTGAGAATCTGGAAAAGAAAGAAATGCTTAGCTTGGCATTCTAGCAGTTTTGAGAAGTTTGTGTTTTACTTAGTTCTGAAAATAAAGTGTTCTTTAAAACTGTCTTATAAATCTCAGTTTTATAAAAACAGTTGCATCATTCACTAGGAGCCAGAATACACTAAGTCATGAATAGGCTTTGCTTGCTTTTTGTTAATACATGATCAGTATGTCATATGCAAATGACTGTGTAGACTGATTATGGCATTTGTGCCAGTCTGTTGGCAACTTCATTCTATATCATGTTTGCCTTTCCTGTGCTATTCCTATAGACCTAAGAAACTGCAGTATTAAGAGCTTAGATTGATTTGCTTGTTAATTTTGCCATTGATAGAATATACAATAGAAACTGAAATACTGAGCTGCTTCCTCAGTTTTGACTCTACAGAATGAGAACAGCAATTTGTTTCATGTTCATAGTGTTTTCTAAGTAATGTGCATAAAGGTACTGTGTCAGTGTATGGTGGATATTCTGACCAAGGCTCTATCAGTTGCAGAGAAGGTTTTTGTTTAGAGAATGGGACTTGAGCATAGGGGACTGAAGAAGTACAAGTGTCACGTAAAGATTCTGTGTGTTAGGAGCTGGAGCTAAAATTGTTCACTTATCCTTGAAGGGATATGGAACCCAGACTCTACTTAACATGAAGCAACAAAAAACATAGATGTATTTAAATTCATAAGAATTTAAAAGCTGCTGATATATTTAGACTCATGTTTCACCTTAGATTGAGGAACCTCTTTAAAGTGTAATTCTTCTCTTCCTGCCAAGGTGAGTCTAATGAATTTAATAGTTTGCTAAAATAAAGTCATTGCCCTGTTTCTTCCAGTAGTTACAGGGGGGGATTTTTCTGGTCCCTTATTCTTTGAGATCTGTATTTTATGCTGTGGTGAAAAATGAATAATAGTACTTATGGGAAAATGAAAACTAGCAATGAAATACCCTCTCTTAATACATCTCTATTCCAGTATTTATAGTGTGTATCAGGAGGGTAGAAAGATCTGCTAAGTAAACTGTATTACACAGGCTTAGGGCGCAACTCAGTTTCATGGTAGGTTTTAAAATTATGATGTCATAGCAGTATGCTATAAAAATAAATAAATAAATTTTCCCATTTTCCCATTTCTCTGCAGTTTTCCATCTGGGCTGTTGTCAAGATGCTGTTTTTCTTGTGATATAACTAGGTACTTTAACATAGCTCAGCTGAAAAGTAGGGTAAACATGTGTCTGTGTGCATGCAAGGGTAGAGCAGACATCAAGAATGCGTCTTACTAGCAAGGGTTAAAGATGCTGCGTTTGTACTGGGTTTAAAGCCTTTGGCTATTGTTGCAAAATCAAATCTTCATTGTGATTTGATCACTCAAATGTACTGACAGTTGCTATGATAGGGTTTTTTGAAGTTGCATTATGTTTTAGCTGTTTGTGTTCAAAGTGACTTTGAAAAGAGATCTTCTGTGTACTTGAATGGTGAGGCTAGCTGCAGCCTGCCAACTAGTGTCTTGGGTACTTAAATCCCAGATCTACCTGTGTCTCAGCTGTCCAGATGTTTCAAATTCTGAAATGCCATTAAAATTATTTATTTCATTCGAACTATTTTTGAATTCCCCTAGAAAGTTGCATATCACTTAAAAGCAGGGTTGGCAAGTTGCGGTGTATTTGAAGACTTTCTCCTCAGTCAGCTTTCTTGGGTGTCAAACCAAGGTAACAGAATGCCTTAAAATCAGTTTCAGCAATGAGAGAATGAGAAACCTAAGGTAATGGGATATCCCTGTAGTGCAGGTATTATCAGATATGTGTAGGACCATGGTGCCAAGAAAGTTGGTGCATGGAATCTGTGCTGATCTGTCCCTTGACTGTATGCAGCTTCTTCTGAAGTGAGTAAGCATCCTGTTTTTAGCTGACTAGTCAGTATGTGCTGCCTTATGTGTTGCCTTAGCCAAAACAAATTGGTGACTCAGGATAGAGACTGGGAGCCCGGTTTCACTGACCACGCCACACAGACAGGATGTGGGCAGATACAGCTTATGTCTGGCAGGATTTGTTAGACTAGTATGTATTGCCTTAATATACCACTTCAGGAGAGCAAATAAACCTTGCAGTCACCAGTCTGCTCCATGCAAAGCTATCTCTTATCTCTCAATGCGAGGTTTCATTAACTGAGGCTTGGCATTAAGCGCTGAGTGTACCCTACACTGTATTCCTCAGTACCCTGCCTTCTTTGGGTCTTACTACTTCAGGCAGTTCTCAGCATCTACGCAGTTACTGTTCTCCTGTTGTACTAAGCTGGAACTGTTCATCCCCGAGTATGGGGAAGCATGATGCAGATAGACATTCTGGCCTTGAAAGTGCCTTTGGAGTCATTAAACCCTGGCAAACTGGATAGTTCCTCTCCCACTGCCAAAGTCTGGCCCATGGACAAGCAGCAGGGGCAGGTGTTGCATGGTTAGCTGATGCTCACGCAGGCCTGAGAGACTGCAAGTGAAAGCAAAATGAAATAGCTCTCTAATCTGGATTGAATGGGATTTTGCTTACAAAAAAATGACTTTTTCAAGGAAAAGTCAGTCCTCAAACAAAAGATGGTTGAGGTCTGTCTTGTGACTCTTTTCTTCAGTGACCTGCAAGAACAACTCACTTTATCCTGACTACTTTGTCTTTTGAATTGGAAAATCATATTAAAGAAGTTGTTGGCTGACTGAGTTTACTGCAGTTGCTTTAGATGAACTTACTGCCAAACGTAAAATAAGTTTCAGAGCACTGCAGTTGCAAGTGAAATAAGGCTTAATTTTCTAAGCATAAAAATACGAACAATAGAAGTAAATGAGTTTTACATGGAAGCCATGGAAAGGAAAAAGGCATTACCCTCTTGCAGTCCAAAAGGAGATTTAAACACATCAGTCACACAAATCTAGGAATTTTTAGAGATATGTTTGATTGGAAATAAAGCCCTTGGGTTAGTGTTTTTTACATTTACTGCAATAATTAATCTCTCTTGAATTTTAAAGCATTAAACAAAACATATTTTCTAATTACTGGTTCTCCTCTGTTACCTCAGTTACGGCAGACTTCCTTGGTTCGTAGCCTTCAATGTCATGATAGCTTATGTCTTTTGGAACTTTGAGTACTCTGCTGGTAGTAATAGAAAAAGACCGGACATGTCTTGCCTATGTTAGCATATCTGCTAATATATATATATGTTAGCATAAAAAGCATTATTAAATATTGCCAGTTGCTGAGATTTTAGCTTCCAATTAGGTTGCTTGTCCAGGTGAACACTGAATTTGGCTTCTGTCAAGTTACTCTTGCAAAAGGAAAAAACCTAAAACCCCACAAACCAAATAACCTAACAACTTCCATGAAGTTTGCAGAAAGAATTCCAAGATGTTTATTAAATTCTGAATAGAAACCTGAAGCAGTGGTGAGTGTGGAAAAGGCATAAATTTTATTCTAAATGTATTGGTTTCAGTTATGTTACTGTCTAATAGTTTTCCATTACTTGGATTTTCAATAAGGAATCTTTTGCGTGGCTTGAGGCCGCTGGCTATGTAGTTCTAGGAGAGATTAAAGTCAACCCAAGGGCAAACGATGTGGCTTGATTGCAGCTAGAGAAAATATAACCTGTGTTTCATATGGTTGTCCCTAGAAATACACGCAGGGCAGCAGAAGTCTGGATGGATGAGTACAAGAATTTCTATTACGCAGCAGTGCCTTCAGCCAGGAATGTACCTTATGGCAAGTAAGTCACAAGCGCTTCTTTGCCTTATTAATTTATTCTTTGTGAGATAGCACATTCTGAGGTGAATGCAGTGGTAGCTCTTGTGTTATCTCTTGAAGATAAAGTTCTCCAGCTCTACTGGTTTTGAATTTCTGTGTATTCCTTAATGTGTATGGAGACAGCAGCCTGCCTTTAAAAACTGCTCCTTTTTTCAACCCCCCTCTAGTATTCAAAGCCGAATGGAACTTAGAAAGAGACTTAGCTGCAAACCCTTCAAGTGGTACCTTGAAAATGTTTACCCTGAGTTACGGTGAGTTTTGGCTGAATTGAAGGTAATATGGAGTGTGCTCTCTTTTTTTTTATTTCTTCCCCTCCCCAGATATCATCAGTTCCTCTTTCTCCGTCCTTGAATGTGAAGCATGTTTTTTAATTTGTTTGTGAAAGCAGTGCCTTATGTGGACTTATTTGCTTCTAGGTTTTATTAGTTCTATTTCTAAAGAGCCATTTCCCCCTAGTAAGCTGCTTTTTCTACTTACTGCAGCTACAGCTGCAGTTGCAGGTGTTTTAGAGAACAGTGTCCAAAGGACTCAATTTATCTGAGCCTGAAGTTAGTCTCCCACAAAAGCTGCTTGCTGAAAAGTACACTGTTCTGTATCCTGTTGTTGTCCCTTTAAAGCTTTAGTCTTTGCCTAAGCACATGCCTGGTTGAGTGAAGGCACTGAATCTCAGTACAGTACAAGTAAAGGGAGTCAGCAGATGAGGGCCTTGTATGTTTAGCAGATAAGGATAGCTGCCAAAGACTCTAAAAAGCTCTGTCTTCTGCTCTTTCTGTCTCTTGTTCTCTGTCACTGGATGGATACTCATTAACCCCGGGGAGGGGAGGGGGAGTGGACGGGCGTTGGGGAAGGAAGAGGGAAATGAGGGATAACACTGCTAACAGTTTCTGTAACGTGAATGCATCCTAACTAATGAAAAATCCTTGAAGAAAAACCCTTTTTGAAATGATAAAAAGGGTTTTGTTCAATAGCCATTTAATAAGTCAGATTTCAGACTATAAACTAGTTTGTCTGCTGTCAACCTGATATTGGTACTATAACAGTAAAACACTGTGTGGCTTATAAGAATGCTTGTTGGTTTGGCTTTTTTTTTTCCTGGGGGCATTTCATGTCAGTACAGTCACGTAACTACTAGTGTCATACAGGCTTGGAATGCAAGAGCACCAGTCATTACAGCCCCAGTGAAACATGTACAGAACCACGTAAACTGAAGAGTCTCATAAACCAGGATGATGCTGAAGAAGTTACTTTTTATTGTCTCTTAAAAGTGCTAGAGGATATTTATTTTTGTTTTATTTGTCAGAAAAAATACGTCTTGCAAGCTCTCCTGAAAAATGTGCTACCATAAGCATTACTTAAGTATAATGTGTCATCTCTCATGTGCTTGTTCTGCTGAGTTGAATTATTATACTCATTTTATAGTCTGAAGTTTTAAAAGGAACTGATATGCCCTTGCTTTACTGTTTGTCATGAACTCGTAGACTCTACCTCACAGCTATACTTTGTTGAACAGGCTTACCTATGTATTTCCACACTATACGAGTTTTATGTGCAGTCATTAGGAAATAGATATCAGCAAAATATTGATGGGTTTTGATTTTGTTTTCTTTTAAATTTCTATCCCCTTTTCTAGTGCTTCAGTAAAAACAGTCTGGGGAAAAATGTAGAATGTCATATTTCTGCCACAAGCTAGTTTGGCTGAAAAAAAGCCAAGAGAGCTTGATAGCTTAGCTGATAGCATTCAGCTTCAGCTGTCTTAAATGATCATCTTTAAATAATCTTTAATTTGCCTTTTGTGCTGAGTTGTGTGTTCATAGAATCATAGAATGGTTTGAGTTGGAAGGGAGCGTAAGATCATCTAGTTCCAAACTCCACCCCTGACATGTGCAGGGACACCTTCCACTCCTCATTCTCTGGTACAGGTCTTTTTGTATTCTGTCCTAAGCTTACAAGTTTACTCATATTTCATCAGTTCATGACCAGATAATTGCCTTCCCTCCTCAGAATATTGAGATTTTCAGATAGTAGTCATCATGTATCTTGAACCTGTTATCTTAAAATACTCCAAGTAAAGACAAGGAGTTAAGTAGATTAAAGAAGTGGAATTAAGCAGATATTTCTGTTTTATTTTAGGGTACCTGATCATCAAGATATAGCTTTTGGGGCTTTGCAACAGGGCACCAATTGCCTTGACACTTTGGGCCACTTTGCAGATGGTGTTGTTGGAGTATATGAATGTCATAATGCCGGGGGAAACCAGGTCTGTATGCCATTATTTTTATTTTTATTTTCATAGTATGTGATTTTTTTTTTAATAAAAAAATAAAGGGAAACTTGTTAAGCAAGTTCTGTGTATTGGTGATGGGAAGATAAGTCTGGATCAGTTATTATAAGAGATTAGTATCTCTAACATAAGAGATTAATATCTCTAATACAAGAGATTAATATCTCTTATTATAAGAAATTAATATCTCCACATCAGTTATTATAAGAGATTGGCTAAATAACTCCTCTCTCAGGTATAATTGTACGTATTCAGGATTAGAATCTGAGTCCAGAGATTCATTCAGTGTGCAACAAAATTATCGCCTTCCTTTGTCTCTATTGATACTTGCTTTTACACTAGAGGCCAGTTACTTCTTTCCCAGGAGTTTTGTACTTGTAGGGAAAGCTTTTTTTCAATAAATTGGTATTTTTGATGGGTCGGGGAGGTGGAAATTTTGTTTAAGGAAAGATTTGGGTTGTATTAAGCATATGACCTAAGGTCAGAAAAGTAGAAGAATGCTTTACTGTGATAACCTACTACTCATTTCTAACTTTCAGTAGCAGGCTATAAAAAAATCTGTCTTAAATCCCCATTTGGCTCTTCTAGAAAACAGAGTTGTCTAAATGTCATATCCAATTCACTCACAGTAAAGGGAGCATTTCAGCAAATCCTTTCTAATCCTACTCTTAAACTAATCCCAAATGTGTCAAATCTGTAAATAAGAGCATTAATTATTTTAAAGAATCTTATTTATACAGTTGTGACTTTGTTGTTCTTGAAATATATATATGTGTGCTCACTATTTTCTGTGCTGCTTTGTCACTAAATTCTTTTCAGAATCAACCTGACTATAAATCAAATGCAAAACTAATACTTCAAGTACTTCCATTAAAATAGAAGGTTCAGCACTTACAAATATGCTGTTGAATGAGTATCAGAATTTTGCTCACTCTGATTTAAATTAGAAGGGGAAAATCCTAAAATCAAAGGCTAAAATAAAGAACTTATTTCCTGGAAGATAAATCATGTTGAATTGAATGCATTGCCATCATAGAATAGTTGGGGTCGGAAAGGACCTTAAGATTATATACCTGAAGTATGTTTATTTTCCTTATCATTAAAGAGAATATATCTGGGGAGGCTTTTTCTGCTACCCTTATGAAAGTACATGTATCTTCTCAGAACGCCACAGTGGTTTTTAGAAGGGGTGTACATGGCAGAATTGCCTTGGTACAGAGTTCTTGAGAGTTTCTGATGATGTTTTGTGTTCTCTATAGATATACAAAGTTAGCTTCCTCTTTCAGACTCGCTTCCCGTGAATCTGACCGTTATCTTCTGTGTGGCTTCTTCTATGAAGCTGATCTTGCCAAAGCAATATGCATTTGCTTTGAATAGGTTCCTGTTCAGAGACATTCAGGCAGATTAAGAGCAGAACAGCTTAAAACCAGGTTTTGTGTCCAAGCAGAATCTGTATTGGATTGGAGGGAATGTTCTTGCAGGCTTTTGATGGAAGGGTAAAGATGTATAAAGCAGTATCTTCAAGACTTCCACTGTCTCTGATTACAAGGCTTTCAAATAAAAATTTTAACCACTTCCCTGGTAGTATTTTCAACTGTCACTATTCAGTAGAAGTCTTATAAAGGGGCCTTCTGTTTCAGAGGCATTTGTGATTCCTGGTAAGCTTTGAAAATAACTTGCTTAATTCTTTAAGTTGTTAAAAGTGGCTATTAATGATTCTTGTTGACATCTTACAAACTGGGCAGAACTGAGAAGCCAAGTAATTTTGTTGTCATCTGGGATTACCATATTGAGAGTGAAAAGTTTTTGGTTTAAGGGTTTGGGAGACAAAGGGATATAGAGTGTTCCTGCCTTTGCTTTGTTTTGCATTGCTGTGATTATTCTAGTACTTGCATGCTATGGTACCTGTGCAGTGGTGATTACTTGTAACCCTGTGGGTTGGAAGTTTTGATTGTTTCCTGAGCATCTGTTCTCAGAAGAATTTAATAGCTGTTGAATTTGCTGATTTTTAAATGGGACTACGGAAGCCAAAAATCTGCTTATGGTATCAGAAAATAAGTTAAAAAATGGGATGGGATTTGTCAATTTATTTCTGAAACACTGATTGCTTGCAAAATAACATTTAAATATAGCCAGGCTTGACCCTGTGTGTCTAGCGGTTGTATTCTGCAACTCTGAATCCTCTTTAGTTTTTTGGAGAAAAGCTGAGTGTGCCATTTTAAGTAGTGACGAGCATGATTTGGATAATTAGCTTGGTTTTAGTTGATAGATCAGCTTCTTTTCTTCAAAGGATAATGACACAAATGAAGACCAGTCTAGATCCTGGAGACCAAACTTTGAGGAGAAAAACATGGAGAGAGTCTGAACACCAGCACAAGAGCAGGCCCTTGTGTAAGGATGCTGTGATCAAGCAAGCTGGGCAGCAGTACATACAGAACAGCTTTCGATGCTTTCAATTTAAGAGCTGCATATTTAAATACATGTAGAGGAAATTCTATTGTACATGAAGCCTTTATAACAGTCTCCCTCTACCCTTGAGTTTGGCAGTCCTGTATATTGCTTTCTGGTGGTCTCTGTCATACTAAGAACTGCTTCCTCACTGTGCTAGCCATTATGCATAGTTTAGTGCATGGGAAGGGTGGCCAGCGATGCTGAAGACCAAGCTTTTAGAGGTTTTATGTGTGTGTATATATATATATATATATATATATATATGTATATACACATGCATATAATATATTTTTAACATATATGTAAATCTGTCGTGCATGGAAGATATGGGAGGGTGTAATACATGTACAGGGAGAGAGGAATAATGTAGCTGGAAAAACACTTGGACAAATATTTTAAACCTGAGGACCAGTGTGACTGCCCGCTATACTTGTGCAAAGCCAGCAGAGGGAGCAAAGAGCCAGCCTTGAGCCTGGCGCTGAAGCAATTACTATTACTGTGTCTGAAAACTTTTTTCCTCTCCTGCTCTATGGGAAGCAAGGAACTGTTCTAATATTCATATGTAGCTATTTATAGGATTTTATCTGTGCTACATATGCAGAGACAGCATGTATGCCTTGTGCCTGTGTTAGTATACATAATTTTGTACACTTTTTTCCTTCCTTTTTCTAGGAATGGGCCTTAACAAAGGACAAGTCGGTGAAACATATGGATTTGTGCCTTACTGTCGTGGACAGAGCACCTGGTTCACTAATAAAACTTCAGGGCTGCAGGGAAAATGACAGCAGACAGGTTAGTATGTTGTAAATGCAGTCTGCAAACAGTGGGGAAGACAAGGGCTTCCTTGAATGAGATGCAAGAGCAAGCACTAGTAATCATATCTTCTATTGGTTCTGTTCTTCACTCTGTCTTACTATTGTTTGTGTAAAGTTAGGATGTGTGGGCAGAGCAGCAGGAATAAGCTTGTGTACCGAGCTTTTCTTTTCATAGGCCAGTGCAATCTTTTATGAACATAAAGAGGTTTTATTCAAACAGTGGCCTTTGTAAAGGTTTCACCCAACAGCACTGATGTGTAACAGTCTTCAGCTGCCACACCTGATTGTGAAATACATATTCTATTTCAGAAATGTATTCTTGAAAGGTCTTATTAGTGAAGTTTGAAGATTAAGTAATCTGTGTCTTAGAAGAGTGTGGTTTGTCTTTCTTCTTTTCACGTGACCTATTTATAACAGTACCTGACTTCTTCAGTTCATTTTCATTAATGCAGCATTCCAACTTCATCTATTTCCCATGCCTGAGGAAAATCACAGTTGCAGTCATACCATCTTTTTGATCTAGTCATATAACAATTCATCGCTTTCTGCTAAGTCATCAGTTCTGATCATCTGCCAGCTTTCTTCTGTGTCTCCAGTTCTGCAGACTGATAACAAAGATGCTATTCCTTGCTGAAGGAAGAATATTCTTGCCACCTTCCAGAAAAGGAAACTAAGGAAACAAGATATTTTTTATAAGGTTTAAGGGGACAATGTTAGAAACATAAAAGAAAAAGGTTTTTTTTAAATTATTTTTTAACATTCTGTATTTGGGATTTACTCTGTACTTGACATCACCTTGAGCAAAGATGTTCTAAAAGCACAGGCTGACTGGTTGCCTTCTATATAATTGAAAGGTGTCTGACAGACTTATGTAAAGTTGTCTTCAGTGATTGTGTTTCTTGCTTCTCTCTATGTTTAGAATTGCAGTGTTAGGTGGATGGGTTTTGTGACTTTTTTTTTCCTTCAGATCGAAGGTTTCACACAGGTAACACAATTGTGTGCATTTTGTATGTATTGCAGTATGTTACCTGAATAAGCAGTTGTTTTGTCAAGGCTTGCCATAACCCCTATACTCTTATTCAAGGATCATTGAAATTGTGTACTATTGAAGTTTCCATGGCTTTCCAAAGCACAAGCCAGGGAAGCTTATGAAGACTTCAAAGGACAGGATGTCGAACTCATCCTTTTCCTGCTTTTCTAGCTCAGTAACTGTTGGTTTGTTGTTTTTTTTTCCTCTTTCAGAAATGGGAACAAATTGAAAGCAACTCTAAACTGAGGCACGTTGGCAGCAACCTCTGTCTAGACAGCCGAAATGCCAAAAATGGTGGTCTCACCGTTGAGATCTGCAGTCCTTCTTTGTCGCAACAGTGGAAATTCACACTCAATCTGCAGCAGTAGAAAGACTTACAAGCAAAATGCTGTTTCGATTCAGAGACATTGGGCAAAGTTTTGATTGAATTACTGATGTATTTCTTAAAACTTTCCACGGAACTTATATACCTCAGTATTCCACCTTTATCTGAAAATAGGAGAGTGCTGAAGCAGACAGCAGGGATCCAGGGGACTTGGAGCACTGCAAAAGTGTTACTGAACATGACTGCAGCACAATTCCTTCTTGGTGTGAAGACTTCAACGGTTCCTTTCCGTCTTCAGTTACACACTTGCACAGCAGATAATTAACTCTAGGAACAACTGATGTATGATAAAAAAGGATCTGAAGAAACACCTGTGGGGAACAGGGTGTGGGAGGGAGGGTGGGAACAATTTCTAGGAGAAGGTCATTTGCGAACTCCATTTGCATAGAAATCACGGTTTGTTGTTTCCAGAAACAGAAGTGTCATTTTGAAGGCTTTTTTTTTCTCCTGTGTGTACTTGGTAATTTGAATATGAACTTTTCTATGATGGACTCTAAATATAAATATATAAAAGTATATATATTGTCAGCTCCCAACGGTTTATATCAGTTTTCTTCATCCTATAATTATCAACAAAGTGATAGATGTATGTATAAACAGGAATTGGATTGGAGTGCTAGGAGAGTGAAAGTTTATGAAGGTGCGGATTTTGTGCTGCTGAGTATGATGTCCGTGCTAACACTGGATGCTTTTGCTTTGCAAACTGGATCTACTTCTTAACTTCGCCCTCACTGGAGATCATGAAACTCAGGAGGAGAAAGGAAATAGCAGAATAAGCCAATGCATCTGCACAGATGATTGCTCTGATTGCTTATTCCAACTTGGAAATTCATTACATGTGCTCTTGATAACCTTAAACTTGTACTTGATATTTGTGTTGATAATTTCTATAGTACTTTGTCTTTAAAATACTTCTTCTTCTGTTACAAAACAGTATAAAAGGTGCAGATCTTTAGTGCAGCCATGTGGGTTCAGCGCAGTTTTGTTCTGGCCCTAATGAGAAAAATTAGTCTCAGACTCCCCTTCTGAGTTGTAGACATAAGATGCAATAGTAACGTCACTGTCAACAGCACAAGACCTGAATTTTAACTTGCAAGGATGAGCAGCTATGTAATATCTCTGAACTGCACTTGCTTAATTTATAGACCTACTACTGGGAAATTTTCTTCCATTTTGTTTCTTTAAATGGAGCTTTTGAAGGGATTCAGGCTTGGCTCTGGGAAACAGCCTGGATACCAGCAGATCCTGTGTGTTTTAACCATAGAACCCGTGCATTTTGCAGCTTCAGTCCAGCTGATGTCATTTTTATATTAAAATAATATTGTCAAAGTTAACCGCAACTTTGACCTGTCCTTTCTTATGTTTGCATATATACTTTTCTATTGAAAGCAAATGCTTCAATGAGCTTTTAAAAGGAAAAGAAAAAGTAAATAAGTACTAATAAGTGAGACAGCAGTGACAAAGATTAGGGTAGACATGCAGTGCCAGGAAGTGGTTTGGATGAGATGAGGGATCTCAGAAAAATGTAAGGGTTGGCCATAGGGAAATCTGCTGTACTGCAGTGTGCCGGTACAGTTCCCCTCTGTCTTTGTTCCTGGAAGTAGAGCAGTTCCTGATTTTTATTTTATTTTACTTTATTTTACTTTATTTTACTTTATTTTACTTTTTTTTTTTTATTTTTATTTCCAGTTTCCTTTGGCTGCATCTCTGCATTAGGTGTAGAGGTGGAACTCTGCTGGGCAAAATGGCTTTAGCTGTGCCGGCCAATGTGCCCATTTGTGTGTCTGAAGTTATGATTGCAAGTACCTGCATACATTTTTGATGGGGCACTAAACCCAGTTTCTCCCATTATGAATAACTAATACCTTGGTTTTTTCCCCACTTCTTCACAATCCACTGACTCCAAAACTTGCCTGTTTTAGAGGCCATGCAGTGGGTAAACTATTTTTCAGCTTTTAGTCTCTACCTATCTGTAGCCTCTTAACATAGCTGAAAACTTGAAGAACATGATTCATAAACATAGCGGTAGATTTCTTCATATTATGGAAAAAGAAATGCTGAAATATGGGCTCAGCAGCAAATCAGTTGTTTGAGGTTCTAAAAAACAAAATTTAAAGGAAGAAAAAAAACCAAACACTCAGCTTCTACCATGGAAGTATTTCCATTTACAACTTTGATCACAGTAAGAGTAGTACTAACTGAAATCAGCAGTCGCATCTCTGAATATTGACCTGCCTCTTACCTCTGAATCAGAAGTGCTACTAAAAAATTCATGTTCCACCTCTTAAGTCTTTCATGTCAACCGTTACCATATAAAGTAGGAGTATTTCCACTAATTCCCCATGGATGCTGGGCATGGGGGGTTTAATATAGGACCTGTATGTTGCTTTTGTTTGGGAGAACGGACAAGAAGCTGTATCCTTTTGTTATGATGTTTACATGACAGTGTGCCAAAGTTACTTACTGTGATTTTAGAGGGGTTTCATGTTGAAGAAATTCACCCATTTGAAAGATAAATGAAAAGCCCTTGAAGCATATTGCAATGGTGTCTCCTGAGAACTTTTCTTACCGTCTTCAGAGCAAGAATGGTGATACTGTTTGTTTTGCAGATTTTCAAAACATAGTTTGGAAATGTTTTTTTCAGTTGGTTTGAAAAGTCTGCTGTACAGAGCTTGTACTTTGTTCATTTTATAGATGGAAACCATCCTTGAAAAATTGTTTAACTTAAATAAAGAAGAATGCTTTATAGATACGTGTGTGGTGGTTAATATAAGTGAGTAAAACCCAGAAGTGTGCCTGGAGCTTGTAGATTGAAGTAGTTTTCAAATGCTTCCCTTCACTTTGTTGTTTCATAAAGTTCTTGTTTTAAAAGTATGTATTTCCGGGTATATATTTGCATTTATGAAAAGCAAGTTTCTGTTTTCATAGAGTGGTTTGGGTTGGAAGGGATCTTAAAGCTCATCCAGTTTCAACCCCTCTGCCATGGGCAGGGACACCTTCCACTAGAGCAGGTTGCTCCAAGCCCCATCCAACCTGACCTTGAACACTGCCAGGGAAGGGGCAGCCACAGCTTCTCTGGGCGACCTGTGCCAGTGCCTCACCACCCTCATGGTGAAGAGTACATCTTATTAGAATATTAGGATACCTCCTCCTCCTGCCCCGTTAGGCCTAATATTCTCAAGACCTGGACTATCCCTGCCAGACCTCAGTAGGCCAAGCCTGGCAGAACATCCTGCAGCCTGCAGGACGATGGCAACAGCTACAGCTCTCACAGCTGATGGGGGTGCCTGTCCACATCTGCTTGTATAGTCTTTTCCGCCATTTGTACAGGGTGGTAGCTCAGATGGCTGTGGTGCACTTGAAGCTAGATCTGAAATACTCAAAATCAAAAAAAAAAAAAAACAAAAACACCCAAACCCACTCTTTTTAAGAAACTTGTTTTGTGAGGCAAACACTTCACATGTCTAGTTCGGAGAGCTTGCAAATGAACTTGCACTGGCACAGCTGGGGAGGAAGCAAATCCTCCATGGTAGGTGATGAACAGCTGTGAAAGTGTGAGATTCTCCTATTGATGTAGGAGGGCACGGTGCACAGTTACAGCAACACCTTGGTTGGTAGGGGTGAGCAGCAAGGCAAGCAGCGTTCTTTGGGAGGGTAGATGGAAGCAGAAGAATAAGTAAAAAATCTCATCTGTGATGTTTTGTCCAGCTTCAGAGACGCCTCAGGTCAGTCAGCTCTTGGGATACATCCTTCCTTCCTGGTTTGTGGCATGCAGGACAAGAACCTTTGCACCTGGCCTGTGAAACAGCTTTACAGTAAGCACCAAGGACGTGATCAGCTCCCATAACCTGCAGAAGCAGTTATAGGAGAGATTTAAACACTTCTGCTCTTTGAGGAAGCTGAAGATTGTTACCCATCAGGCTCTAGGTGTAAACTTGCTGTCCCCGTGTGCCAGAAGTCGGTGCTTTGGCACCTTTCAAAAAGCCTAAATTAAATCAAGCAAATCACTCTTTAATATTTATGGCTGGCAAAACCAGGATGGTTCTGTCAAACTGCAGTAAACTGGAGAAACAGCTTTTTGAAGATTGTGTCTTGGGAACTCAAATGAGGATTCTCCATCTGAAATGCCCTTTGACACCTGTGAGGTGACAGGTAATACTAAAAGATAATTACAACAGGCTTTTGGCAGTAGAAGCTTTTCATCTAATCCAATGCTGACTGTAGCAGTCTGTCCCTTATGTATCTGCCTAGGGTCTTACACATTTTCTGTACACACTGTTCTCAGTAAACTTCTCAATATAAGTGTCAGGACTGAATGGGCTGTCCAGCAATAAACTTCAGCAGATCTTGCATTGCTACTCACCAGAACTCCATTGTTTCCTTTGCCTTATATTCAAGTATATATTTGGGGAAAAAAAAAAAAATTCTCATTCAGTGTAATTCATTTTCTGGAATTCCAGGTCATACTTTTTAGCCAGTTTTGATTCATGGGTTTGCTCTGCTTGACTGCATAAAACCAGGGGTGTTTATGCCTCTTTTATAAGGGAACATCTAATAGTTCCTGTTTGTGGATAAACAAAAATGTATTTTAAATCATCAGTTTTCCAGAGGATGCCTGAGTGCATTTGGAAAGGAAGACAGGTATTGGGAGAGATTAAAGGACTATGATGTACTTGAGGTTGAGGTAAGGACCATTGTCTTGTTTCAAATGGTTCCTGCAGAGCATTGTCCAGTTCCTGGCTGGGGTGCTACTGCCATAACCTTAATTATTTTAAATTGCTATATTTTTTTGCATGAAATTACCATGATCCCCCCCTTTGCCTTACTCAAATGTATATTAAATATAGTGACTATAAAATTTGTATGGTCCTGAGTTGCATGTGTGCATCATCTGTGTCCTAATTCAGACTGAAATACAGTGAATAACTTCATAGCAATAACTTGTTATCGAACACTCTGGGAAGAGGCTGGTTCCTGCACAGAATGATTTCAAATGAATAGAAACCACTGAGAAAAAATAGTCTGGGATAATGAGCCGTGATTACGGAATGAGCACAACTGTCAGGGCTGCATCTTTTGTTAGACTGCACATTTTATTTACAGCTTAACATCCAGTAGCTATTTTAAGATCTCCTAGTAATCAAGCTTAAAAACTGGGAATAAAGTCAGTCCACAGATGTTCTCTCTGCACAGCCCTCCAAGAGGTTGTCTGAATGAGTGCAAAATACTCTTTTGATCTGATTTCATTCGATTTGATTTCTGGCTGCACAGCTGCATGTTGTTGCTCCATATGCAGGAAGAGGGACTTGTTTGATTTCAAGTTCCTGTTTCTACCCAGCAGATGTTTTTAATCCAAGGTTTTTTTTTTATTATTATTATTAATGAAAAGGATGTGAAGTAGCAAATGGCTGCTTTCTGCCATACCTGTATTAATTAAACCTCACCTTTGGTTAATCTGGGCGTTGTGGCAAAAAGAGGGTTAGAAAAAGACTACCAAGAGCCTGTCGTGGTGTGGTTGTTGTGAGCACAGCTTCTGCAAAACACTTCTGACTTTGTTAACCTCTGTGCCCCCCTTTCTTCCTGCCCAGCAAGTTGTTTTTGAAGTGGATGTGAGGTGGGTTCATAGGTGGCAGCTCCGTGCTCAGCTGAGCCAGCCTATTTGTTAATGCTGATCCTGCCTCCTCCCCTGGGCTAGCATTGGTGCCTGTTCCATTGAGACAATTAAGTGAATAAAGCAGCAGGATGAGATTAACTTTATTGTTGTCTCTCCATCTTAGAGAGTCGAGTTGGCCTTTTGAAGGCTCTAGAGAGCAGAGGGATGCTCTGTTTTGCTTCCCAGTTGAGATACCTTTAATGATGATAACATTTTTTATTACTTATACCAAAGCAGCCTTACTGATGGTATCTGAGTCTTAAGACAGCAACGCCTGTAGTGGCAACAGAGGAGGAAGAGGGAGCAAGGGAGATAAAAAGTTTTTAACATAACACTCTGGCTTAGACAACCCTGAGAAAGCAAACGCTCTGTCTTATCTGCAGTGTGTGCTCTGTGGGGTATGGTGTGAACCACTCACCTGCTGGTTTTGGGTTTGTATAATGATATTGCTTTTATTTTTCCTACTGAATGAGTTATTCAAGAGAGGGTGACACCTTTAGGTCACTGGGTAAGGGTCAGGGCTTCTGCTGTAGAAGGAGCTACAAGAGATGACGTGCTTACTGGTATCTTGATGTCTAGGTGACAAGATAAGGAAAAAAAGAGAAGGGGAAGAGAAAGAGGTGCAAAGTGAGAGAAGCAGCAGCAGAGCTGCATCTTACAGTGTATTTCAAAGTCAGTAAATTCATAGTTTAAGGTAAAAATGAGATGTACGTGTCCTGTGCCCTACAGCATCAGCTGTACCATCTTCAACAGTGGCATCTGTTCCAAGTTCTCTGCTTCTGTTTGGATGTGACCTCCAGCAAGAGCATTCAGCCTGGATGTAGAAGATCGGATACAATTTTCAGAAGGTCTGAAGACACATTAATAAGGTGTTTAACGCATCTTGGGAAACCCATGAATTTGAGAATTGGGGGATCTCATTCTTCAGCTGGTGTAATTCTCTTCCTGTCAACTCTTCTAATGGAACAAATAATTACAACATGGGTTGTAATGTGTGAAGAGCTCTGTTAGTGAGCTGGTGCTTTCTGTTCTGTCAGGGGCTGCGCTTCAGGGTAGGCGAGGTTACCACTCTTGGGTCTGGGGGGATTGCATGTACAAAAGAGGCTGGGTGGGTATAAGGTATCCACAGAGAACATGCTTGTCTGTGTGCTTCTCTGTATGGTATGGCTATTTCTGCGTTCACCTAAACACACCAGCACCCTGCCTCTTTATCTGTGGGAAGCGGCCTTCCCTTTCCCAGGAGGTGAGCTTCTATTTGCCTGGATGCCCTCGTGGGAGGGCTCAGGCCATAGGCCCTGCTGGCAGCTCTTTGGCGAGAGCCCTGGAGCACAGGTTTCCCGAGGAAAGCCGGCGATGGCAGCAGGACAAGTTTCCTGCAGGTTCCCTTGCTCAGTGTCCTCCTTTTGGCAGGACAGGACCTGATTTTTTCTCATGGCTGTTACGGGCTACAAAGAACAGCTCTTAAATTAGCCCTGAGGAGGTGGAAAGGTAGAGAAAGTTCACTGTAGGGAGCTTGGTCTGACACATGTGATAAGCATAGGCTGTACCTGGTGCGACTGATGAACCCTGTCATACGCACAGCCCTCTCCTTAGTTTGTTCTTGTTGTTTTAATTAACTTTTGGCAGCCACACCAAGCACAAGTCCTGTGTCTTTTCTCAACCGCGGATGCAAAGTTACAGCGAAGCACTTTGGCCATAGCTTGACCTGGGAGGATCACATCCACCCAGGGAGCATCCCGTGAAACTCGAGGCCCGTATGAAGGTGCCAAAGGTACAAAATATCCCACCACAGTGACCCTTTGTCACTCTTCCCTGAAACACTCCTGCTCTATCTTCTTCCCACTGCTTTGAGCAGCTCGGAGACCTACAGATCTGCTGTTCTTGCAACTTCTTTGGGACACTTGTGTGCTGTTTGGTCAGCGATGCTCTTGCTGGACATGCACTGAAGTGAGCACTTGGAGAGTGCTGTGGAAGGAGCTGAGAAGGGCAGAGTTCTTTCACCTGTACTGTGCTTGTGTGCACCCATGTGAGTAAGCATGTGTGATGCTGGTGCTGCTACTGGTGCCTCTGAAGGCTGTCCTTCTGCAGGGTGGAATTCT